GTGTCATTATGACTGACTTTTAAGTTGGCCTAGGACTCTGTCTCCCAGGACATTTGCACAGGTCAAAAAAAACAGTAACTAGTAACGAAGGGATATAGTGGGATAAGAAATACCCACCATATATTCACAGAAATTTCACCAGTGTTCAGTAGCAAGCTGAGATGAAGTCATTTCCCTTTCCTCGGATATTGCATTTTCATGTGTTCACATGTGTAGGCACACGTATGTGTAGAGGTGTATGTGTCACGTTTGCACATACATGTCAAGTTTATTCATCATCGTCAAGTGGATTCAGGAATCATCCTCAGTCTCTCTCCCACCTTATTGAGGCGGGGTCTCTCAGTCAAACCAGAACTCACCCACACAGCTAAATGTCAACAGCCAGCTTGCTCTGGGGTTACCCATTCTGCAGTTATCTGTGTTTATATGGGTTTCTAGGGATCCGAACTCTGGTCCTCCAGCTTAGCAGCAGGCGCTTTAACAACAGAGCCATCTCCCCAGCCTAATGCCAGGACCTAAACCATTGTTTGTACAAATGTTTTAAGTGCAACACAAAGCCATACATTTTTATATCACAACCTGGTCCAGGTAAGCCACTGCTGAACACAAAATTCACAAAACAATAGCTGCTGCTACGTGACATTCCTCCAACTATCTGTTCTTCACTCTTTTCCATCCAGTGATGCTGTTCTACATCCACTTACGCACTGAGGCCAGCAAGTTGCCAAGCTTTGGTCTAAGGTTGGGTGAAGTGGCGGATTGTATGCCTGTGATCCCTGCACTTGGGAGGCAGAGGCAGGAAGATCACTTGTAAATTTGAAGCCAGCCAGGAACACATAGGGAGATAAGGCCCCATAACACTATAACAGAAAACAGGAAAACACTAGTCTAAAGGGGAATAATATAGAACTGCTCACTCTCTCCTTCCTCTCCCTCCCCCTTCTCTTTCACACACATGCACACATGCACGCACGCACACAACACATTGAACACAAAAATACTTTAAACCTGCTGCTTTCTCAGCAAGCTTCATATTATCCAGCAGAAAGATGCCCTTATATTATAAAGGTGTTATAAAAATTCTGTAATAGCAGGACTGTTTGTCTTTGATGCCATTATATTTATTCAGTAGCATTAAAAATATTCATATTATCTAGTAACTACAGGTACCTTGAGTTTTATTGAGGCACCCTCCACTGTGCTTTTTGAGGCAGGGTCTCTCACTAGGACAGGCTGGCTGGCCAGAATCCCAGAGAGCTACCTTTCCCTGCCTTCCCAGGTCTGGGACTACAAATATACACCACCACACCTTTCCTTTTATGTGGGTGCTGGAGACTGAACTTTACCAACTGACTTATCTTCCCAGTTCCAGTCCTCCTTATATGTATGAACTGATGTCACCTCTGTTCCAAGGACACTGGCAGACCATATAAGTACAGTCAAGGTTAACTGTAGCCTAGCCACAGCTATTAAAGATTAGATATCACTGATTCAAAATGTTTTAATTGTAAAAGGAGTGGAAACTGGCCAACTATAGTACTTTTTATGAGATAGTAGAAGTATAGCCTCTAAAAATAAATGGACATTTACTTCCTTTCTTAGGATTTATTCTTACTTTATGAGTGTTTGCCTGCATGTATGTCTGTGTACATGTATGTCTGTGTGTGCCTGGTGCCTAGAAGCCAGAAGAGGGTATCAGATCCCCAGGAGCTGGAGTTATAGAAGGTCATGAGCCACCATGTGAATCTTGGGAACTGAACCTAGATCCTCCACACTTAACTGTGGAACATCTCTGCAGCCAGGCAAATCCACTCTTTTAGGAAAAAGGGAACTAGAACTTTAAAACACTTGACAGTATCATTATGCCACTGATTTCTTAGGCACTATGACTTGGATTATTTTTCATCTTGTGTAAAATTAGTCTATGGCTTAGTCTATGGGTCTAACAAGTCAATAAAAAAATAAAGGAGGGCTGGAGAGATGGCTCAGCGGTTAAGAGCTCTGGCTGTTCTTCCAGAGGTCCTGAGTTCAATTCCCAGCAACCACATGGTGGCTCACAACCATCTGTAATGAGATCTGGTGCCCTCTTCTGGCCTGCAGGGACACATGCAGGCAGAACACTGTATATGTAATAAATAAATAAATCTTTAAAAAAAAAAATAAAGGAATATGACATATAACAAATACCATAAACTATACATTGACATGGAAATACTATCCAGAATTTTAGGTACTAGTTGAAATGAGGCAGTAAGTCTAGATAATTTGCTCTAACCCATTTCATAAAATATTAAAATGTATTTATTGGTTTTCAAAATATTTTAACCACAATTTGATGTAGTATGTATTTATATACTTATATGATAGAAAGCATAGCATTATTTGTGAATTATATTAATGAACCAAATATTTTGTATGGTTCTAGAACTTGTTTTGTAAACTTGCTAACAAGAGAGTTTTCTCTCTTTAATATACTCTTCTCTTAAACTACTAAGGGAAGCAGGAGACTCAGTAATGAAAAGTCATACACAATTACACAGTGAGTTTGAGGCCAGCCTGGGCTAAGAAGACCTCGTCTCAACACAAACAACCAAGCAAACAAGCAAACAAACAAAAACTATTAAGACTGTTTGAAAAAACAGAACCAAACAAACATGCCCAGGAAAGCTACCAGAAAGCCTCTCTCTTCTGGTCTATGGTGGAACTCAATTCTGAAAGTTTGTAATGTATCCATATATGCACAGGAAAGACACAATCATTAAATAAACAACTTTCCCTCCACTGTGCATATGATTTTACCTGCTTATTGCCAAAATGGAATTGTGACTTCTTAGTTACTCTTCTTTGAAGAGACACCACAACCAAGGCAACTCTTAGAAAAGAAAGCAGAATTTAATTTGGGCTGGCTTACAGTTTCAGAGGCTTAGTCCATTATCATCAGGCAGGGAGGATGGCATGGAGCAGTAGCTGAGAGCTACATCCCAATCTGTAAGCAAAGAAAGGCACTGGGCCTGGAGTGGCCTTTGAAACCTCAAAGCCCACCCCCAATATCACACTTCCTCCAACAAGTCCACACCTACTCCAACAAAGCCACACCTCCTAATCCTTCTCAAATAATGTAACTCCCTGATGACTAAGCATTCAAATCTATGAGCTTATGGAGGTCATTCTTATTCAAACCACCACAGTGACTCAAGCCCTTTCTCTTAAAGCTTCAATATTATTGTGCACACAGTGTATGTGTGGAAGTAGAGGGAATGCATGCCACAGGGCATGTGTGGAGGTCAATGGCCAAGTCTGTGAAGTTGGTTCTCTCCACCTTTTCTTTCCAGGGTAGAACTCATGTTGCAGGCTTACACTGCAAGTACCTTTAACAGTAGATCCATCTTACTGGCCTTTTGTTTTTCTTTAATGAGAAGTGTCTTGCTTTCTAGCCAAGATGAGTCTTGAACTCTTGATCCTCCTGCCTTGGCCTCCCAGGTAGGATTACAGGTATATGTATCACACTCAGCTTGATTCAAATTTGTGTATTCATGTGGATGTTATGGATGTGTGTGTGCATGAATGTGTGTGTTTGCATGTGTAGTGGTCAAAGGGCAACCTCAAAGGTCATTCCTTAGGACTTGTTCATCTTATTTTTAAGTCAGGCTCTCTTGCTGGCCTGGAGCTTGCCCAGTGGGCTAGGCTAGAAGCCAGGGAGCCCTAGGGCTCACCTGTCTCCACCCACCCCCCCACCAGCACTGAGTGTACAAGCATGTGCCACCATGCCCAGCTTTGGTACAGGGTTAGAGGATCAAACTCAGGTCCTTGTTTGCATTACAAGGACTTTACCAAATGAGTTACCATCTCTACCCCTATTCAGACTGCTTGATGGAGAACTTATATAAATTTTAGAAAAGTCACAAAAATTCAGTCAACAACTAGGATAGGCTGGGATAATTTTCTCAAATATTCATGTTAATATTTGTGTAAGAGAACTATTTAAGGCTCATCTTTTCAAATAAGTTAATCTACTACTAACTTTAGAAACATAACAATGTGAAATGTTGATTCATTTGACTATTCACAGTAGAAAAAGAAGTTAAGCCTGTTGCATAGCCTAGCATTAACTAAGATACCTACAGTTATTTTATTTGACAGGACCAAATTTAAACTCCATACTAAACAACTCCATTACTGAGGAACTAATTTGGATATCATGGAAACCCCAGATGAATAAGTAAAACATACATCCTCTGCACACAGAGAAACATTCTTCCTCCAGGGTAGGAATGGGCCACAGAAATCCAGAGTGAAATGCAACCACAGAAATCCAGAGTGAAATGCAACCACAGAAGTCCAGAGTGAAATGCAACCACAGAAATCCACAGTGAAATGCAAACACAGAAATCCACAGTGAAATACAACCACAGAAATCCAGAGTGAAATGCAACCACAGAAATCCAGAGTGAAATGCAATCACAGAAGTCCAGAGTGAAATGCAACCACAGAAGTCCAGAGTGAAATGCAAGCACAGAAATCCAGAGTGAAATGCAACCACAGAAATCCAGAGTGAAATGCAACCACAGAAATCCAGAGTGGATGCAATCACAAAAAGGGTAGACTGATTTCTAGAGGCCTCAGGGGTCTGGGAAGGTTTCACCAGGAGACAGAATTTAAGGACTTTGGGGTGCGATGTAACTCAATAGCAGAGCACCTGCCTAGACTGTATGAAGCCCCAAGTTTGATCTGCTGAACCACAACAATTCAAAGAGCCTTGTGAAAGCCTTCAGTGGAGTGGAGCTAAGCAGTATGAGCAGGCACAGCACCAGGAAAATGAGAAGGGCATACATCAGACAACTCAACGGTAACTGGGAGGAAGGGGAAGCAGGCTGGGAAGACAAAAGATCAGTACCAAGCAATGGGAGCCACTGGAGTCAGCAAACAGGAAAATGAAATTCAGTCTATTATAAAAGATACAAGTATCCACCACTTTACAAAGAAATGGACAGAATAAGAAATGGTCTTGGATATCATTTATTTTTTTAGAGTCTCTGTATAGTACTGCCTAGGTCTGGAACTTGCTATGTAGACCAGGTTGGCCTTGAACTGACAGAGATCCTCTTGCATTTGCCACTTAAATGCTGAGATTAAATGCATATACCTGCTCAGTCTAATAATTTGGATTTTTTTGTTTTGAGATAGGGTTTCTCTGTCCTGGAACTCACGCTGTAGACTAGACTGGCCTTGAACTCAGATATTCGCCTCCCTGTCTCTGCCTCCCTAGTGCTGGGATTAAAGTTTGTGCCACCACTGCCCAGCCTAATAATTTGTATTTTTAAATGCCTTCACTTAAATAAATGTCAAATGTTCATTTTATCAATAAGTCAATCTTTGATTTTCCTAAATTCTGTTATTTATGGATGATGAATCTTACCTATTTTGAATTTGGAGTACCACAAGAATGATGTTTCTATTTAATACCATTTGGGGGGAGGCGTCCTATTTCCTATTTAAATAGTTCAAATGAAAATAATAAACAAATCCAATATAAACTCATTGTAAAAATATATTTTAATCCCAAAGTGGAATATTAGCATTAGAAAGTCATTTCCAACAATATTTACAATGAACTTTATTATAGCTTCTTAAACAGGAAAATGCTTCTTCCCAATTTTGGGACTATAAAAAAGAGTAAAAGAGTTCTGATGAAAATCATTAAGATCAAGTAAAATTCTCATAAATTCCTGTGGTTAAAAACTTCTGTCTGAATAGATCAGGACAGAGGCAGCAAGTGGGTGCCTGCCCACTCCTCCCTCATTATGTGACCAAACTGTATTTGAAACTAGAACAGGCTTTTCCAGGCAAAGCACACCACGAGTCCTCAGCAAATATTTTAACTTTGAGTCTTTTGACTATCAAAACTAATGACCTATCAGTCATTTCCAAGATAGCCAGTCACTATCCTACTAATAGCCAGGAAACTGTTACAGAGGCTGCTGCCTGAGTGGAAAGAGGGGATGTCTAGACTGTAGATCAAAAGCTGAAGAACTGCCTCACAGGAGCAGCGGATGCTAACAGCAAAAGGCAGTTTGACTGAGAGCAGCTGAATGCCTACAGCATGAGATGAAAGTTTGAAAGAACCAGGGCTAATAAAATCACCTACCAATTGCTTTCTGTAGGACTAAGGCAGCCAAGGCCTGGTTCTAAGTAAGGAAAAAAAGATTGTGTGGCTTTGTGAAACCTACTGGTCACATTTTGATTTAGTCCTTGATCAGAAATCTACATTGTAAGCCAGGTACAGTGGTGCACACCATTAGTCCCAGCACTCGGGAGGCAGTAGCAGGTGATCTCTGAGTTCGAGACCAGCCTGGACTATAGTGAGTTCCAGGATAGACAGGCTACACAGAGAAATCCTGTCTTGAGGGGGGAAAAAAAATCAAAAACCTAAAAGTCAATGTGTTGTACTTATATAAAAATACAATTCGTTTTGAGTTGCTAGAAATAAATTATGAAGAAAAATAGATACTACATGTTCCTAATGGTTTCCCTGGAATCTGCCACTTTTGCCTGGGAAAATATACATGGAATTTAATATTAAACTTCAAATTTATTCTTTTCTCACCCTGTGATTTTTTTTAAGCAAAGGGCATTAAACAAGCTAATAATTAGGGGTGGTGGAATAAAAACTTTCTCAAGTCATGTTTCCATGTGGGAGCTTCATGAAAGAAGTATCTGGCATTAACTAGCCATGGTGTAATACATCTGTAATTCCAGCACTCAAGGAAGAGGCAGGGGATCTCATCTCAAGATCAGGCCAGCCTGGGCTACCCAGTGAGACCCTGTCTCAAAAACTTAAAGAAAAAACTTTTAAAGAGAAAACTGTGTGGCATATCTCATTATAATAAAATATAAGAAAAATGGAAATCTGGTTTTATTTTGGGGTGTGTGTGTATGTTCTAGGGATTAAAACCAAAGCTTCATACATGCTAACTAAACAGGCCTCAGGTTTGGCTTTGTAACTATAAGTGGTTGGCAACTGTTTCTTTAATAGTTATTGCAGGAGTAGGTCCAACATGAGTCCAGATGTAGCCTTTCTCTGGTCTGGTGGGAACTGTAGGAAATGGTGACGACCTTGACTTGAAATACTCAGAAGGTGCATGGCAGACAAATTCCAGGTATTCCATCTTCCTCGGAAGATCTTCCTCTGGCCCTAAGAGGCAGCCAATGGAAAAGGTAAACAGTTTCAAACATGGGTATCATTTTTATGAAATGTTAGCTTTCTTAGATACCAAGAGGAAGCACTCAGAATGACCGACCTGACATTAGCCCTTGAAATGTCTTACTCTGAAGTCACATTCCACTATTTATTCTACCTCAACTCATTAAGGCATAGAGCATCCTCCCACAACAAAGTGACTCAGCTGAGAAAGGATCCTAATACCGAATATTTACAGTTCATGAAGTGCCTTTACTGTTCTAAGTACTTCATATCTCTCTATACTTTGACTCCTCATGGAGCACTATTTTTTCCTATTTTACATATAAGTACAACAAGGAAAGACAGATTAAGGACTGGCGAGGTTCCTCTATCAGCTGGCTAGGAAAGCCTGTAGTCTGTTCCAGAGCCAGTGCTCTGACCTTCCCACCATGTGACATCATGTAGGGCAGGGCAGAACCTCAAACTTGAGAACAGCCCAGAAGGATTCAGAACATAGTGGCCTCTGCGGGTTCTGTACTTACGGGCACAAGATATGTTTGGTCATATAACAAGCCTGACATGAGTGAGAATAACAAGGGGGATATTAGTTGTCCTTGGAGTTCTCACTCACAGAAATGTCTTTCCCTTTGGGGTGCAAATGAATGTGTGCCGGTTACAGAAAGAATGAAAAGTACAGAATAACAATGAATACTCAGATTAGCCAGTCATTTTTTGAGTCTGTCATGAATTATTTGTACTCTATCTTTTGAATGCCTTGAAACGATCAACAGAGTACAGTGTGCCATTTCAACCATCAACAATGATTTTTTTAAATTTTTTTTTAAGAATAGGATGTCATGTATGCTGTGTAGAGGGGCATATCCTGAGAATTTATTGTTTTTAGAAATAATTAGGAAAGTTCTTTTAGAAATTGTTTTTGAATAATTTTATAGGTAACCTATATAACCTATATTGTATAATTATATAATTCTTTTTATACAATTTAGGCCTGGGTCACACAAACAAATCTTATCCACACCATATTTTAGTGGGTACACATTGTTCTAGCCCATAGTAACAGATGACAATCAAATACTAACCACATAAAATGCCTATAATGCTCTCTACTTTTTTGTACTTACTGACATTTATGCCTTTTTTTATTCTATTTAAACTGTGTTCTCAAGCCTCTAAATTCAGATGCTGAAGGTCTATCTTTATATGTTATGTGCTGGAGATGGGACCATTAGACAGGTAACCAGGGTCAAATAAATCCAAAAGAGTGGGCCCCCTCAACTCTTGATAAAGAACTACAGGCAACTAAGGAATACTGAGAGTCAGAGAATTGGTCATGGTGTTTTCTCACAGCAACAGAACAGTAACTAAGACACACCCTACCAAGTGGTCAGCCCTGAAATCACAGGAATAAAGCAACATCAAATGGACTGAGCAGGTTGTATTTATGCAGTTAGGAATATACATTAATATATACAGCAATTAAATAACAATAAAAGAAGTAGAGCCATGAATTTGAGAAAGATTGGGGTGGGGTACATGGAAGAACCAGAGGGAAGAAAGGAGAAAAAAATATAATTGTATTTTAATTTAAAAAAAGTGAAGGATTATGGGAGCCAGAGAGGTCAAGGAGACCACAAGAAAACCCACAGAATCAACTAACTTGGGCTCATGGGGGCTTACAGAGACGGAACCAACAACCAGGAAGCCTGCATGGGACTGACATAGGCTCTCTACACATATGCTACAGTTGTGTAGCTTGCTCTTCTCGTGGGACTCCTTACAATGGGAGCAGGGGCTGTCTCTGACTCTGTTTTCTGCTTTTGGGATCCTTTCCTCCTACTGGGTTGCCTCATCCAGCCTTAATAGGAGAGGAGGTGCCTCATCTTACTGCAACTTGATATGCCATGGCTGGGTGATATGCATGGGAGGCCTGCCCTTTTCTAAAGAGAAAAGAGGAGGAGTGGATGTGGAAAGAAGGGGTTGGGGGAGGGACTGGGAAGAGAGGAGGGAGGGAGGGGAAACTGTGACTGGGCTGGAAATAATTAATTAATAATTTTTAAAAAGTGGATCCCTATCTGATAAGACAGATGCCCTTCAACCAGGGAGCCCGTACAGGACTATCCCTAGGCCCTCTACATATATGTGACAGTTGTGTAGCTTGGTCTTCTTGCAGGACTCCTAACAGTGGGAGCAGGGGCTGCCTCTGGCTTTTGGGACCCTACTCCTCCTACTGGGTTGCCTTGCTGAGCCTTAATGCACGGGGAGGTGCTTAGTCCTACCACAACTTGATATGCCATGCTTGGTTGATACCCATGGGAGGCCTGCCCTTCTCTGAACAAAAATGGAGGGGTAGATTTGGGGGGAGTGGGGACAACAGGGAGGAGGAGGGAGAGCATGCAAATTAATTCATTAATTAAAACAAAAACAAAACCGAGAGAGGGTGACAGGCAGCGAACAACTAAGCTTGGATATGAAGGAGCCGTAGCCTGGCAAGGTCAAGGGACAGAATTACACCTACACGATAGCGGTCGTAGAATTCTGTTTACAATGAAAACAAACAAGTGTGGCAAGATGTTTTATAAAACCAGGATTACATTTAAAAGTAAAATAGTCTTTCCTGGTACTGGGTGGGGAGGCTGGTGTCCTTCCAAGAGGTAATGGAGAGCTTTCAATGTGCACACACAGAAAAATGACCATGCGGGGGGAGGCGCACATCAAAAAGGCAGCCACCTGTAAGCCAGGAATCAAGGCCTCACCACAAAGCCATCTTCGCAGCGCCTTGCTCTGACTTCCACCCCTCAGAACAGCCTGCGGCATTTTGCTATGACAGCTCACAGACTAACGTTCTTCTATAAAGCACAGAAGAATTAAGTACATTTAAGAAGCCGTGCCGTTTAGTCAAGCTTACCTATGATATAGGATGCAGGATCAAACTGGTCTCTGGGGCTGGCAAGGGTAGGAATGAGCCAGGTCAGTGCTGCGCTCTTCTCACAGTACTGGTCCTGAATAAAACCCCTGATCTGAGCATAGTACGGCTTTCCATCTTGCTCATCAATCACGGAAACAACATCACCAATTTGGTAATACACTCCCTGGGGGAAACAGAAGATAATCTTGTATTTAAAACAGTAACAGATCACAGCCACAAACAAAACTTCATGCATCAGCAAGCAAATTTCAAAATAGGAAAAAAAAAAAGGTCTGAGTACCAATGTTTTACATTATGTTGACATTTGTTTCACTTCTGAATGAAAAAATAATTACATAAATACACATATATGACAATTTGCAACCAGGAAAATATTTCTTTATATAAATTCTTTGATTTTTGTATCATGAAAGTACTGTCTCTGCTTTTAAAAAAAAAAGACTTCACTTTTAAGAACGATTTTGAATTCACAACAAACTAATGGAAGGCAGAGCTAGGGAATTTCCCCTAGTGTCCCTACCGGGCACATAAACAGCATCCTCCATTATCCATGTCCCCATTATCAGTGTGAAACACTTATGGCAACTGATGCATCATGACTCAAACACATAAATCTATAAATTAACCTTAATCTAGGTGCTATTTAATCTGTGAGTCTGGGACATGCATAACATGTATCTACTATCATCATATCATTGAGTAGTTTCACTGGCCTAAAAATCCTTTATACTATTCCTACTTTTTTTTTTTAACCCAGTCATTAAGCTGTAGAAAGTTACATGACGTATTGCTCAAGTCCACACAAGACAGGAACTGCTAACTATACACCCACACTAAGTATGGCCTTCCTGTACGACCTGCGACACCAGCATTTGCTTGGTGAGACTAGACTCTACACATTGCCCCCCCTGACAACCGTCTCCTCCATGCCTCTCTATTTTATGTCTTCCCAACAATATAATTATGATATATTCACTTCCTGTTCTACTTTATATCTAACTAATCTGTACAACTCCAGTATTGAATTCTCCCTATGCCTCTACTATCCATCCCAAGTACTCTTCCCTGGATCTTGAACTGGAAAAATGTCACCTTTGAATATCCATAATGGTTGATCTTTATGATATGCAGAATAACTTAAGTGGGTATAGTCCTCAACAGGTCATATATTCCTCAACTGTAGGAACAATGTGTGTTTTCCTCGAAACAAGGCTTATGTAGCAGCCAAAGCTGCTAAGATACACGAAGTTTAACCATAAAAAGGTTCTGCATGAATACTTCCAGTAATTCAATTGCAACACAGGTTATCTGACAGACCAGGGGTTTCTCCTAGTAGATGCTTGATCATGTGTCTGGGGTGACTCACCTCTGGGTCCCCATGAATGTGTACTATTATTGCAGGCTACAGTCTACTACTTACTGGTCCACAGCTATCATCAGCTGGTCCTTCCCTGACCCTACTACTCCTAGGTTCTAAGCTACTATCAGATAAAGTTTATGTTTGTTATCTACTATGTTCACACATACAATTTTGCCCAAATTATAAAAGGTTGTATTTGTTTTGTCACAGGCACTCAGATCTATGCTGAATATGAATCACAAATATGTAACAGTGTGAAAATAAAGCTGCGATGCAAAGATAAGGTCTTCATGAAGTTTCAATGGCAAGCACTGCCTAGCCTATAAGTGTGTGCAGCAGTCCCCCCTTATCTGCAGGGGACACATGCTAATACCCTAGGAGATACTTGAAGCCTTGGATACGGCTACTTTAGGCATTCCAGATTTTCCTCCTATATGTCCATACTCATGATACAGTCTAATTTATAATTTGGGTAAGAGATTAACAGCAGTAACTAGTAATAACTAGAACTAATAATAACTAGCAATAAAACAGAACAGCTGGAACTGCAGATAAGGGGAGACTACCATACAATACCTGACAAGCATCACTAAGACTCTTTCTCTAAGCACTCTCCACTTGCTGGCAGAGGGAAAGGAGGTGAACGTGTGAGAACCACGGGACTGGGAATGGCCACACTAGCTTCGTGCAGCCCTGACACTGCAGTACTCAGAAAGGTCACTTACTGTTTGCTTCCCACATGCCCACATTCTTGCCTGCCAGTCCTAGCGACGACCCCCATTCACCTCGCTCTCATGAGTTTATTATTTCTAAGTTTTGTGTGTGTGTGTGTGTGTGTGTGTGTGTGTGTGTGTGTGTGTGTGTGTACATGTGCATGTGCATGCAGGTGCCTGGAGTTGGAGCATAGTTGCTGTGGTTGGCTGGATGCAGGTGCTGGGAACTGAACTCAGGTCCTCTGAGAGAGCAGTATGTGCTCTTAACCACTGCCCACCTCTTTGGTCCCTCCCTCTCATATGTTGGATATGGGGTCCAGCTCAGCTTAGAAGCTCACACCAGTCTCTTGAACTTACCACCATGATGCTGGCTCTGCCATGAGAATTGTCCAGAATGCTGGCTATCTGCAACATTACTTAAATATTTTGCTGTATTTTGGTCTTACTGTTTAATAAACATAGCAGTAGATAGCAATAAGAAAAGACTGATCCTTGCAATAACAAGTTCCACATGCTTTTCCATTAACACACACAGAAGTCATTAGTACACTAAATTTTTATCTTCTAGACTTAACCACTGTACACAAATCTGAAGCTGTGATGATGACCATTTGTACCATTCACTGATCTTGCTAAATGTTTAATGTGCATAATCTCAGGAAGTAATTAATACTTACAATCTTTATTTTTCAGATAACCACCTGCCAAGGCAATGTAGCCAAGATCCGATTTCTGGGCTTAGGTTCTAGCACCAGACTGCCTTGCCCATGACTTACCAGCTACACTACCTTGGATAAGCTAATTAATCTCTATGAGCCAATGTCCGTATCCATAAAATGAGGAAAACAGTACTCACCCCAGAGGAGACTGAATGAAACAAAACACTTGAAATGCTCAGCTCACTGCCTGATCCATAAGATGCATGCTTGTGTGTGCAAGCATTCAAGCACGTGTGCACACATACTCAACACACACCCAACTTTATCTTATGATTAACAATTAATGTATTATTAATTCTAGAAATAGAGGCGAAATTCTGTCCTACGACATATTTTTTTTGGACTAAAACACCTGTGCACTAACAAAATAAATACACTCAAAGGTCTAACTATTTGAGTATCATGAGGTATTTGGTCCAGTTGGGTCAGGTATAAAGCACAGACTCATCACCACTGCCTCCTGCATGACAGTTCAGATCCCCAAACACCAAAGGAATGTAATGAGTGCTGCCTACGCCAGGCCTGACAGTCTCCAAGGCATTTTCTATGTCCTAACACCCCTCACTGAAGTCAGGAGTATCTGCTCTGGCCCAAGGGAAGCCCTTATTTTAATCAACAAAATCTTAGACAGTAAACTAAGAATACCCTTGTTCAGACTTTTAGTTTTTGTGTATGGGCGTCCTGACTACATGTAAGTTTGTATACCACGTGTGTGCCTGGTGCCCAGGGAAGCCAGAAGGCGGCTTCGGATCCCCTGGAACTGGAATTACTAATGGTTGTGAGCTGCCATGTAGGTGCTGGGAATTGAACCTGGTCCTCTGGAAGAGCAGCCGAGTGCTCTTAACTGTTCAGCCATCTCTCCAACCCAACCTTTAAAAACTTTTTATTGAAAATAGATCCATCCAATACATCCCAAGCACAGTTTCCCTTCCCTCCACTCCTCCCAGTTCCCCCATGCCTCACCTCTTCCCCAGATCCACTCGTCCTCCGTTTACCTTCAGAAAAGAGCAGACCTCCAAGAGACAACAACCAAACACCAAGTTAACAGCCCTACACAGACGTAGAGGGCCTGGTGCCTCTACCTTTAAGGCAGTTCAGAATCACTGACCTGCTCTACCCACTAGATAGTGTGGTCAACGCCATCCATTCATTCATGTCCTTCTCACACACTGAGGCCTTCGCTTTAGACAGGATGACTCACTCTTACACAGCGCCACACTATACACTAGTGTTTTAAGAACAATTCCTTAGCACCTTCATATCACAGTCTCAAAGGCAACTTCCCTTCCCACCTGAGCTCTGGCTGGTATATTTTACAACAGCCACCTGGAGGGAACTAAAAGGCAACCACATCTTCTGCACACACAGAGCAGCAGCGACGTGTCAACCGGGCCACTATTTTAGTAGCACATTGTACAAGAGGCCAACTGCTCTTTCAGTAACTCCACAGCAGCTTACCTTGTAGAAGATTGATTCTGCAGTAATTATGGTAGAAACAGATTCAGGAGCTTTGATAGGCTGTAAGAAAACAAAAGGAAAAATATTTGTGTATGTATAGTATGCATGGGTATTTCCCCAACCATACGAGAACGGGGTTATTTGAGAAAAACAAAGTATTGTTATTTGGTAACAAAAAATGCAGGAAAAATTTCTGACAGGTGTGATGGTGCATACATGCAATCCCAGCACGTGGAAACCTGAGGCAAGAGGATGGCAAGTTCCAAACCAGTCTGGGTTATATAGCAAGAGTGTATATGTACACACACACACACAATAGTTTAAAAGGTGCTGAAAAGAAGAGGTAAAGTTTCTGAGTTAACACAGAGCTTTCTCAGAGCTCTAGCAGACATTAACATTCCAAATACAGAAATACACTGGCTCTAAAAGTCTGAGCACGACAGGCTGGAAATTATAAAAAACATACAGATGAATATAAAATGGAATTTTTATTTATTTATTTATTTTGGTTTTCTTCGAGACAGGGTTTCTCTGTGTAGTTTTGGTGCCTGTCCTGGATCTCACTCTGTAGACCAGGCTGGCCTCAAACTCACAGAGATCTACCTGGCTCTGCCTCCCGAGTGCTGGGATTAAAGGCGTGCACCAACACCACCTGGATAAAATGAAATAATGACCTCTCCCATGATTTTGTGCCATTCTTGAAAAATGAAGATGCAGAGAAATTAATAATGAAATAACTTGAGAAATAAGCTGAATACTTACAAAGAAAATATACCTGTTATACAAATAAGTTAATGTTTTGACTACTCAAAAAAATCTTAGTTTAAGAAAGCTAAATTATAAAAATCTTCAACTATAAAAACCATTACTCGGATTAAGAGAAGAATCACTGGTGGAGAGGTGGCTCAATGCATAAATGCATTTGCCATACAAGCTTGACAGCCTGATGTGGGTACTGGAACCCACGGGGGAAGGAGGGAACCAGATCCTGAAATTTGTTCTCTGATCTCCACATATGTGTCATGGCATGTGCACCTGCACTCATATGCAAACAATAAAAAATAAGTTAGAAAAGAAAAGAAAAAAAATTAGGCCTGGAGAGAAGGCTCAGTGGTTAAGAGCACTTGCTGCTCTTGCAGAAGACCTGAGTTCAGTCCCCAGCACTCCCATGGCAGCTCAGATCACAACTGTCGGTAATTCCAGGACCAAGGGATCTGATGCCCTCTGCTAGCCTCTGAGGGTACTTGGTATACACATGCAGGCAAAACACTCATACACATAGACTGAAAATAAATATTTAAACAAGAGTCTACAATCTGGGCCCCTCTCTTTCATAAAGAAGTATGTCTACCTTAGTAGTGTGTTTACTAGTAAGTGAAGCATTTTTGTTCCAAAAGTAATACCAAGATTAAAAAAATACCAAACTAAGATTAAAAAAAAAACCTACAATGTTGTTCACTGTCTCATATGTACAAAAATAAAACATCACAATAAACGCATCTAGCATGAGACTTTAAACAATCTTCACATACATCAGGTTTAGAAAAAAATTTGGATTCATATTCACCAAGTTCATCATGAACCAATAGATACATTTTTCTGGGACTATCATAACAAATATGGTATTGATGAATTCTGTATTTGCTTAGCTCTTTAAAAGACAGAAAAGTTTTCTTAGTTAACTATGCATCAAGAGCCATAAATGAAACCATTAGTGAACTAATTTAATCAAATTTTAAAAAGAACCATAATCTTTATTTGCAGAGAATGTGAGAAATTGAGATAAATTATACAGTATTTCTTAGACTCTCATATTGTATTTTCTAGATGAAAAAATACAAGCTGGAAAAAACAAACAGAGAAAGTGCTTTTCTAACGTTATGAATAGCAAGCTTCTTAAACAGAGTTCATCTTTTGGGGAACCTCACCTTCCCTCCAGAACATTGCAGAAGGGCTCCCAAAGGGTACACCTCCAAGAGGTATGCATTCAATGATGAACTGAGAAAGCAGCGGCAAGGCGCGCACACGCGCACACACACACACACACACACACACACACACACAATGTCCTACAGTAAACACACAGTCACAATCATCTTACGTTTTTTAATTTAAAAATATGCCTTCTCCCTTTTCCTTTAGTAGAAACTTTCTTTTCAGCAGCTGGAGCAGATTTGTATTTGGTATTTCTGAGCCGAGCAGACCTTCTGTGAATTTCTTGCTTACTCTGTTACACAATTTAGAGAAAAAGAAATTAAAACGGTAGAAAAGCCAATCTAATAATCTCACAAAGACCAGAGGATGTGCTTTGTTAAAATACTTGTAAAAAACTGAGGGGCTAAGATGGGTAAACCTGGGCAGGGCCTCCCAAGAGGTGGCGCTGCTTACAAGGGGGAAGAGGACAGGAGTGGGTGGAGGCCAAGGCGGGAACTATTCGTTTGAGGCTATCACACAGGAAAAATTCCTAATTTACTGCACCCCACCCCACCCCACCCCACAAGTTTCCCACACATAACTGAATTCCAATGCTGTCATTTTAAACGGCCTGATAATTTATTAACAACATAATGACAAGGATTTAACAGGCAAGAGGCCCTTGGCCCACAACCCTGTGGCAGGCCTATGGCATAGCTCTGCGGACACTGTGCGGGGGACCATTTCTGCAGCTTGTCATGCACCGTCCTGTCTACCGCACGAGGCTCTGCCCACCGGGCGGGAGGGGCCGCGAGCTCACCTGCTTGCCACCCCCCGCCCCCGTTGCTCTGCGGAGGGCCGGCCGAGGTGCTGGCGAAGGTGGCCGCGCCGAAGCCGCCGGCGACCCCGGCCCCGCCCGCCACCCCTGCGCCGCCGCCCCCGCCGCCCCGGCCCGTGCAGTGGTGACAGAGGATGTCGCCCTGTGGGCTCTTCTTCCACATGGAGGACGACGTGGTCTTGCACACGCTGCAGGTGGGCTTCAGGCCCAGCGGCATGGTGGCCGGCTCGGGCGGCCCCCGCGGGCGGAGCGACACGGGAATGGCGGTCGTCTGCACCGGCCGCCCCCGGGTCGGCCCGCCACCCCCGGCGACTGGAAGAGCGGGACAGGCAAGGTCTGAGGTGCTGGGCCGCCCGCGCCGCTGCCCAGCGGCCGCCACTGCCCCCGGGGAGCGGGAAGCGGCCTTGGGCAGCCCGGGACCCAGCCCTGGTGCTGGGCCGCCCGCGGGGGACGCAGGCCCGAAACTCCGCCTGACCTCCCGGGAAAGCCAGCTCTGGCTAGAGGTTGGACCCCGGGGTGGCCGGGGCCGCGGGGAGACCAAAGCCCGACCTCCGCCCACCGGGGCTTCCGGCGGCGGGCGGGGCTTCCGGCGGTGGCCGGGGCTCCGGGGATGGGCGGGGCTCCGGGGATGGGCGGGGCTCCCGGGGCGGGGCGGGGTCTGGGAAGCCCGGGGAGCCGACCCGCCAGAAGTGGCGCTGCCCGTCACTCACTCTTGTAAGTGCTACAACTGCTGGGGGAAATATAAGATTTCCTATTAAAGGTGAATTTCAAATGAACAACAACTAACTTTTTAGTGAGAGTAACCCATATACTTATTGTTATCTGAGAGATCCACATTTACCTGTGTAGCCTGTGCTTTTATTCGCTAAATTAAGCTGTCTTAATCAGGAGCCTTTTACACTCTTAGAATTTTTTTTTTTTTTTTTTTTTTTTTTTTTTTTACTTTGGAGGCTAGGGAAGTGCCTAGATAGGCAGAGTTCTTCTGGAGCAAGCTTGTGGGCCTGAGTTTGATCCCCAGTACCCACGGAAAAAAGCTAGGTGTGTTAGGGCTGGAGAAATGGCTAAGACTAGAGCCAGTCAGTATTAGCACCTACTCGATCTGTGAAACTTAACATGATCACTTCACGTACTTAACTTTCGAATACAGTGCTCTCAAACCCCCAAAAGAATTGAGGGTCTAAGAAATTCCCGTATTAAGAACATTCAAACAGGAAGGGGCGGGCGGAAATACCGACTTGGATTCGTGAGATTAACTTGTGAGTGACTTATTTTACTTGGGCCAATGTAGTACTGCTGTTCACTGAATATTGTATGTGAGGGGTCTATGAGTTAGTAGGTCAGTTGGATTAGAAATTAGCAATGTACAGAAGTACTATCAATTTTTCTCATAAGTTACAATACTATAATTAAAAATTATTACAGTTTTGTATGACACAGTCAGGTCCAGAGCTGGGACGTTTGTATCTTCTATGGCTTAGCATAGGCTTTACTTACTTATTTGCATAATGAACAAGCAACATATCATACCTTCCTAACATTTAAAATAATGTACACTAGCATAAATGTTTCCAAGGCCATTACTGGAGATAGCATTGAATACGGCTTTAATTAGGAGTAATTGCTGTAATAATTTATATTATATCTTTTTTTTTTCTGTGAGCTTTGGTTTGAGGAACTGGACACATAAATCTGGATTTGAATCATTGCAAAACTTAGCAATTCCCTGGGAGAGTCGTTAGCAAAACCAGATATAATATGCCCTTCAGCTGGAAAAGAGACTTTGAGAGAATAAGCCTGAACATTGGCTATGATTGTGGAAGTCTAAAGTTCCCTGGGAAATGAGCCCAAAGAATGAGGGAAGTCATCGGTACTGGTTTCAGGTAAATAAAGTTTTTATTGAGTTGACCAACTGCATTTTTGGTGGTGTTTTGTTGTTTTTTGTGTGGTGTATGTATAAGTGTTCAGATGTGTATGAACACACATACGTGTGTGCATATATGAGCACATGTGTGGAGGCTAGAGGTTGACATGGGGCGAGGGGGGGAGGGGCTTCCTCAATTACTTTCCACCTTTTTACTTGTTTATTTTGACAGGTTTTTTTTTTTTTCCCAGCAGTTTCTTTTTTGGCCTTTTAAAAAGAAAAAGGAAAGGATTTTGATTTCTTTGAGGGTTCACAGTTCTCAGAAGAGATCTAGCTTTAGAACTCATGTAATCAGGGGATATTTTCAGTAAACAAATGCCCTATGGCAGACAACAGTGTTTCAACATCATTGCAGTGCATTGGAATCTGCATCCTTAGCTATGGTCCATCATATAAAACAAGGGAAAGAACAGAATGTGGAGAGGAATGATGAGTCCCTAGTTCCCCCTTTTTACTTTAGCAAAATATGTTTGTTTGGGTTTTTTTTAAAAATAGTTTACATTTTTCTTTTATTTTTTATTTTTATTTTTTACTTTAATTAATTAATTAATTTTCTATTATCAGCTTGATACAGTATAAATTCTTTTTTTTTTTAAAGATTTATTTATTTACTATGTATACAGCATGTATGACTGTGGGCCAGAAGAGGGCACCAGATCTCATTACAGATGGTTGTGAGCCACCATGTGCTTGCTGGGAATTGAACTCAGGACCTCTGGAAGAGCAGTCAGTGCTCTTAACCTCTGAGCCATCTCTTCAGCCCCTAAATTCTTATCTTAATAGTCTTTCCCAGAACTTGGGGCTTACCATTTAGCCTAGACTGGCATAACCAGCAAGCCCCAGGAACCCTCCTGTCCAAGTTACTCCAGGTCCTAGTTGCCATGTCTGGCCTTTTACGTGGATGCTGAGAGTTCAGATTCAAGCCCTCAACTTTCATGGCAAGCGCTTTCCTGACTGAGTCATTTCCCCGGCCTGTTTTTTGGGGGTTTTGGAGGTAGGGTGGGGGGCAGGATCTCACTCTATCCTTGGCTGTCCAGACTGGCCTCAAGCTTGCAGAGATTCCATCACAGCCTCCTAAGTACTGAGATCACAGGTGTGAGCCACCTCATCTAACACAATGTGTCATTGCGGCTTTGACTTTAAAAGGGGATGTGCGTTCTTGTGTTTTCTCAGAAACTAGTGGTAAGACTGCAGATACCAACACGATTTGGAGACACGAGGTTTATGCTAAGCATTGAGAGATGACTCCAGTGTGGAATTTTAGAAAGTCCTTGGAGTAAATGGTACAGTGGTTCTAATAGTAGATAAAAGGATGATGCTCTGCAGAGGACATAGAGGGTCTGTGGCCTGCCGGTCGATTACCCAGGGGCTCAGCAGGAGGTTGGAGTTTTAATTCTGTGGTTTATTTCCCACTACTCACACCTGACTTTATAGACAGTCATTTTTGTTTTTCTATTTATTCTTCTCTCACACAAAACATCCTGACCACTCCTTCCCCTTCCTCCCCTCCTCCCAATTCCTGTCCCACCTCCCCTCTCCCCCAGATCCACTGCTCCTCCATTCTCCTTCAGAAAAGACCAGGCCTCCCAGAGATATCAACTAAACAAAGCATAACAAGTTACAATAAGACTAGGCATAAATCCTCATGTCAAGCCTGGACGAGGCAACCCAGTAGGAGGAAAAGGGTCCCAAGAGTAGGCAAAAGAGTCAGAGACACCCCCACTCCCACTGTTAGGAGTCCTACAGAAATCCCAAGCTAAAGAACCACAACAAATATGCAAAACCCATGCAGGCTCCGTGAGTGCAAAAAGGAAATCCAGTTAACATGACTGGATTTTGGCCAGCGCTGGTTCAAATTTCTAGAGTCTGACCTTGGACGGTTTATTTTAGCCATATTTAAGCACAGCACAATTTTAGGAAAACCTCTCTCTCTCTCTCTCTCTCTCCCTCCCCTCCCTCTCTCCCTCCTTCCCTCTTAGTTCAGTTAGTGCTGTTCATATGTGCAAGGGTGTATGAGCAACCTACCAATGAGTATACCTCCAAAGAAAAATGTCCTCCTTTCTCAGCAGCCGTCAGCTGCCAATAATTCCTCAGCTAGGAGTGGGCTCATGGGCCCCTCTCCTGTCTATGCTGGAATGTTGGCTGGCTTGATCTTGAGCAGGTAACCATAGCTCCTGTGAGTTCATGACTGCAACAACCTTGTCACGTCCAGGAGATCACATTTCACAGCCCTCTTTCTCATCCTTTGGCCTTCATATTCTTTCTGCCTTCTCTTTCTTATGTTCTCTAAGCCTTAGTCTGGAGGATTTTATATATATATATATATATATATATATATATATATATATATATATATATAATAAAAAGTGTATATATAATAAAACATATGTATATAAACACACACACACACACACATATATATATATATATATATATATATATATCCTTGTTTAGGCTTTAACACTCATTGTCACTTATTTTCAGCATGTTAACTAGTCATGAGTCTCTGCATTGACTGCTGCCCTCTGCAAAAAGAAGCTTCTCTGACCAAGGTTGAGAATGGCACAAACCTATGTGTGTACACATAAATATTTATAAGGCTGTTTGACAACGTGACTTTAAGCAAAAAAACAATAGTAGGTCTCCTTTGATGGTCTTGCATATGACTCTTGGTATTTAGACTGTGACAATTATTCACCATTCACAATTGGTGTCAACACAGCTGGTCATGGAAGTGGACTTTTTTTTTTTAAATACCTTTTCTATTGTTTCATGTTTTTCTTTGTCAACACACACATGCCTTATTTTCCTTTGGAAACAATGGAAAGAGTTATTGGGGAAGATAGTCCAGTCAGTACAGTGCTGGCTGCACAAACAGGGGACCTGAGTTCTACCCTAGGATCCACGGGAAGTTGGGCGTTACGGTGCATGCTTGTAATCCCAGTGCAGTGCAGGTGGAGATGGGAGGATCCCTGGGGCTCACTGACCAGCCAGCCTGGCTAATTCAGTGAGTCCCAGGTCCCACAGAGAGACCCTGTCTCACCAATAAGGGGAGCAGCTCCTGAGGAATGAAACCAGAAGTTAACCTCTGGTCCCCAGATGTGAGTGTACACTTATGAACACACACACACACACACACACACCCAGTGCATACTTGTGCATTTGTACCCGTAGCACAAACATGCATACATATATATTCACATGTGCACATACACACCAATAAAAGAAAAGTGAAAGTATCAAATGGAAGAAAATATTTTTCACCCTCAAATCTTCTCCCACCAGGAGGCAGGGTTCACCATGGACAATGTCTCATTCAGGGGTTGGCAGTGGTACCTCCTTTCTGAGCTGTTCCTTTGTAGTGGGTGGTAAGTTTCTTTGCATGCTGATAGGCCTCTCCACCGATGCAGTAATGCAAATCAGACCAAATTAGGCAAAGGCCCGGTTTAATGGGTAAAGCGTTCCTGGGTGATTCCTGGCCCCACAGAGAGGAGATGGGGATGAGAGACCAGAAGAACCTCGTGTCTGTTTTCTGGGATGCAGCTTATATACCCTGTGGGAGTAGTCTTGAGCCTCTCTGGGGGAGGAGCTGTGTTTGGCGGGCTTTGAAGGGCTGGGTTTGGGGAAGTTGAGGTGGATTTTCCACCAGAACCTTCCAGACTCTTTGGGTATAGAGATGCTAGGGTGCCAGGGGTTGAGGTGAAGCTCCCACCCAAACAGTGAGGATGCTATTGCCCAGCTTAATACCATCAGTGACTGCGTGGCACACAGAGCTAACTCAACAAGTAGCTTCCTCACGCAGCAGCTACTCCTCTGCAGATACCTTAGAGCAGTGGTTCTCTACCTGTGGGTTGTGACCTTTGGAGATCCAGTGAACTTTTCAGAGGGGTCGCCTAAGACCATTGGAAAACACAGATATTTACATTACAATTCATAACAGTAGCAAAAACGACAGTTATGAAGTAGCAGCAAAAATAATTTTATGGTTGGGGGTTCACCACAGCATGAGGAACTGTGTTAAAGGGTCTCGGCATTGGGAAGGTTGAGAACTGCTGCCTCAGAGTATAGCAGCATTTGCTGCAAGGACCGATAGAAATTAGTAAGCCAAGAAGATATTGGGGGTCAAATCAAGAGCTGAGAGACGGAAGCAGCACCGTAAGAAGGCTCTCACCTAGTCCTCTCCTCCTCGGGGGGGCTTCAGGAAGACTGTGAGCCACAGGGGGCCAAGGCTCCTTGAGGTGTCACGGGGAGGTATCTCAGACAAACACATGTCTTAATCCATTTGTGCTGCTGTAACAAATTACTGGAGACGTTGTTTATGAGGAACAGACATTTTTCCCAGCTCTGATTGCTGAGTCCCGTTCCCCAGGGTCTCATCCCCCTTGACTATTCCGTCTAAACAATGTTATTTTTTCTTTAAATATATTTTTAATTAAAATACAGTTATATCACCTCTCCCTTCCATTTCTTCCCTCCAGCCCCTCCCAAGTACCCTCCTGACTCCCTCCCAGATTGATGGCCTCTTCTTCGATTGTTACATATAAATTGCATATGTAACAATGAATTATGCATACATATATGCACAAACATATAAACTCAACCTACTGAGTCTGTTTCTGTTGTGTGTATCTGTACAATTTCAGGGCTGACCAGTTTGTATTCGATAAACAATTGGGGGGCTCATCCCTGGAAAGTCTAATTCTCTCTCTCTCTCAGTAGTCATTAGTTGCCTATAGATATTTGTCCGGGGGTTGGACTCCATGAGATCTCTCCCTTTTCACATTAACATGGCTATTGATATTGCTATTGTTTAGGTCTTGTTTATGCAGCCATTTCTAGGAGACACAGTCTCACATCAGACTTCCTGGCCCTCTGGCTCTTACAATCTTTCCCCTCTTCCATGATGTTTCATGAGCCTTTGGTGCAGGATTTTAGTGTTGTAGATGTTTCCAATGGGATTGATCCCCCCACGATCGTTGATCTCTGCAATGTATCTAGTTGTGGTTTTCTGTAATGTCTCTAGTTCCTGTAAAGAGAAGCTTCTTTGATGAGGGGTGATTACACTTATTTGTGGCTATAAAGATCTTTTATAATGTAGTTAGAAATTATGCTGATCTGGTAAAGTGGCAGTACTAGGATCTCATTTAAGATCCATGACCTCACTAGCCCTGGGTGGCTGACTAGGTCTCTAATACCAAGCGTGATTTCTCTTCTGTTGAGTGTCTTAAGTCCAATTAGACAGCTGTTGGCTCCATCAAAATGTGAATGCCACTATTGCATATTTAGTGATACTTCGGCATGCTGATCATTGTTGCGGTTTGTAGGCATTACAACTGGATAGGATTATTGATTACATCCATGTCTTGGTTGCTTTCATAATACTTTCTATTATACTGGCAATTAAGTTTCAACATATAAATTGGGGAAATATATTTAAACCAGAGCACATAATGAGAGATACTCAGTCTGGAGTAAGTGGAAGTTCAACCAGATCATACAGACAATTAGTACATATGAGATGTGTAAGAAAATTTTGGTGATGCTGTGTGTACATAAACTGTTAAAACAGAAGTAAATGCTTCTCAAGGCCTTAAAATTTCACACTAACAGGAAAAAAAACTAAGCCAACTTCCTTAGGTGGTTGTTAGTTTCAGTGTGTGGTATCATTTGTAGGATTTTACATTTTACATGATTTATGTGTTGCATAGTTCACTAATTAAAACTCTCAATATGAAAAAACAGAGCAGATGTATAAAACACATCAAAGGCTGGTTTCAAAAGAGATGATCACGTTTTGTTCCCTGATGATTATAGGCTGCAAAGGATCCACAGGCCATGTGTATCCTCGCCCTTTATGTTAAAGGTGCAGGACTCTGCAATTAAATGTCTAGTTGGTTTACTCACCTACCAAATGAAAGGTACCTGAGGCCATAAATAAATCACACAGTTGATGTTCTTAAGTGACTAGTACATGTAAGAATGCAAACAGCAGGTACATGTAAGAAGATACCTGTGTAGACTATGAGGTTGATGAGAAGAGAAAGGATTTTGATCAAACTGTAGTTAATTCATTAGTTATAATCCTGACATGTAAACAAATAAATCATACTAACTGCATTCTGGAGGGAAAAACATATAATTAACTCAGGTTGACTGTCTACACCCACAAACCAGAGATACTGGGGACTGGACAGAGGTAATGCGTAGGATCTGTGAGACTGTGAGGTTCCAAAGAAGACAGCAGAGGCAGGTATTCTCACTGACTTTTCTTTGTGGCCGGGGTGGGGCCCCTGCTGTAGGCAGGTCTTCTGGACTTCCTATGCTGTGACCTGAGCACAGGGCAACACTGTGTAAGATATTCTTGCTTCCCACCCTCATTCTTTGCCTAGGAGAAATGTTCTCATTGCCCGCGTTGGTTGTACTTCCTCCCAATCTTCATATCTAACACCGTCTCTCTTATATTTTTGGTTGTGAGCCTAACCTTTAACAGCTGAGCCATCTCTCCATCCCCTAACACCATCTTTCTAAGAACCAGCCAACATGTCATCTCCACCTCCATAACTGTAAGTGGCTGTTCTTTCTTACAACTTTTCCTTCTTTCTCCCTTACAAGTACACCATGTACCCTGTCTCCCTGTACACAGGGAAGAATATATCTTTTCTGTATTTCTTTCCCTTCCTCACTCTCTACACACAGTAAACAGGCACTAAATTTAGTGAATGAGTTAGTAAAAAACAAAAACTCCAGAGAGGACAAGTTTCCCCTCCTTCCCTACAAATCCTAGAGAAGGACTCTCGGTAGCTGCTCACCTGATCATGTGTCTTCTCTCACCAAACAGCCTGATCTAGGTCTTCCAGGGCTTCCCATTGATCTGTGGCCTGTAGGTAACAACCTCTCCTCATGGGGGAGGGACACAAAAGTCATCCTGGTCTACCAGAAAGACCAGTTCATACTTTGCTGGAAATGAGCCTTACTCATCTGAAACGATGGTGCAGGACCCCTGGAGCTTTGTGAGCATCTTCCTCTTGCTGAGAGGAAAGTGATGGACAGCTTCCTCATGGATGGAGCCTCTTGCTCCATGACATGGAGTTGGCTTGAATACCCGAGTGTAGGTCTCCTTGAGACCCAACAGAGAGTGCATTGGCTAGCATGAGGATCGATAGAGTGGGTTTGACTTAGAAGTCCTCTTCCTGATAGGAAGGTTCCACCCACCCCAAGCTCCAACTGCCACTCTCTTAACTGTCACCCAGAGCCTTGCTTCTCAGTCTTCCCACCACCTGGCTGTTCTTTGGATGGCTGCTGCCTCAGGAGTCAGGAGAGCTTTGTGAGGACCAGGTGAAAAACCTCATTTGTGTTTCAGGGACCAACCAAACAGAGTTCCTTGAGGAAAACTCAATGCTTTGGGGTTTTGGTTGCTCTTGTCTTTGAGTGCTTTGAAAAATCTTGTTGTCTCTCCTGATTTTTAGGACACTATAGACACCAACTTGGTTATTTGAGCATCTTCCAATGACCTTCAGCTTTACATGAAGATTGCTTTCTCAGAGGAGCTCCAGACTATCATAGAGGGAAATATTTCTTTTTGTCTTCAAAATGTAAATATATTATTATTGTTATTATTATTTGGAATAAATGGCCAGTGTAAAATCTCATTCAAGTCAAGATCATTCCCAACTCAGTTGTATCAGAATAAGGATCAGTCCTATTTGTAGTATTTCTTTCTAGAGAGGCGATAAAATAGTAATTCAATCTTCCTAAATACTATTCTCAAATTTTGCTTTCTAAATTCAAAACTGTATCATAGTGAACTTCACATTGGTGCATGTATATGCATATGTTTTTGTGTGTGTACCAAAATTAATTTATCTACTTCCCTGCTGGTGAATAATGGGCTGTTGGAAATTTTTGCCAGTTATAATGAATGATATACTGAATCCTCTTTAACATGGACCTTTGCCTTCATATGTTTATGGAATAAATTACTCCAACCAGAACTGTTGGGTCTAAAATGCTACACATTTGGTAGCCGGGCGGTGGTGGCACACGCCTTTAATCCCAGCACTCTGGAGGCAGAGGCAGGCGGATCTCTGTTAGTTCGAGGCCAGCCTGGTCTCCAAAGCAAGTTCCAGGAAAGGCGCAAAGCTACACAGAGAAACCCTGTCTCAAAAAACCAAAAAAAAAAAAAAAAAAAAAAAAAGCTATACATTTGGAATTCTGGTAGATATCACTAAATTTCCTCAAAACTGAAAACTATATTGCTATGAGATGCTGTCCCTCAAGTGTGATAATCTACTATACATAGTTGACTTAATGCTTAGGACCCATGATTGTTTTAGAGTAACAAAAATACTTTAATTTTGCTTAAAATTAAGAAAAACTTATGGACATAATAAGGGATAACATAATAAATCCATACTGGATTATATCACTATTTCTAGCAATAACAAGAAAAAGATCATTTTAAATAAGAATAAATTTAAGTTTATAATTATTTATATTAAATATATTTACAGTTTTGTGGAAGAGGGAGCTCAGTAGAAGAAATGTGTAGGTTTATGTGAGTCATAATGTGCCTCTGGATTATTTATTTCTTTATAGCTTTATGATCATGAGAATCATCTTTTTAATCTTTGAATGTATTTTATGTAAAAAAAAAAACATTTCACTACTGCTTTTATTTACAGTTTTTTGGTTGTTTTGTGAGGTGTTATCTCCTAGGCTAAGAGGCTAATTGGCTATTTAGATTTTTTATGAATTGGTTGTTTGTTTTCATTTCTCATCTTCATTGGGTTGCCAATATTTCCCTTTCTGCAGTATAATGAACATTGAAAGTATTTACCATTTTTCATATCAGACTTGTAGGACTTTTTTGTAGTAACATCGGAAGTGTTCTGTACCTCCAATCTGTCAAGCACTTCTTTTTTATGGTATTATTCGTATAAATGCTTATCTAAATAGTCCTTGTATTTGCTAATAAAGCATCTATTTTCAGTTCACCTGTTTATTAGTTACTTTTCTATTTCTGTGACAAAATACCATAACCAAGGCAACTTAGAAACAGTTCAGTTGAGATTATGGTTTCAGAGGGTTAGAGTCCATGGTAGTGGAGCAAATACATGGTGATAGGCAGCTGGAGCAGCAGCTGAGAGCTCACATCCTGATCCACAGTAGGAGTCAGAGAGAGAACACGGGGAATGGCAAGAGTCTTTTGAAGCCTCAAAGCCCACTCACAGTGACACACTTCCCTTACAGTCCACAACTCTTAATCCTTCCCAAACAGTTCCACCACCAAGGGACCAAGTATTCAAACATATGAGCCTATGGGGGAGCATCCTCATTCAAACTGCCACAACCTACAATAAATCTTTGAATGACACATAAAATAACTATTAAACTATTTTTGTTTCCAAGTGCATAACTAATTATTCCAACATCAGAGGACATAATTTGAAGTTTCACCTTTATCAACTATTAAAATCTCATATATACATCAATCTGTTCCTTGAATCTCTTCCATCCTATGGATCCATCTATTTATTGCTACGCTGGCACTATAATTTTAATTATATAGCTTTATATCATATATATCTGATATACATATGTATATATACATTTTGATTTCTGCTAAAGTAAATCAGTAATACATCTCTTATAGTCCTCTTTCAAATTTGCTCTTGATTTTTCTCATATATTTACACTGATGAACTTTACTGTTACTAGAAAATCCTACTGGGTCTTGTAAACTTTAGAGATTAAATGGCATCCTTCCTGGAAGTTTTTTGGACTTCCTGTTTGCACCATTCTAGCTTGGCCATCTTAGTCTGCTTTTCTTGCTCTATCATGTCCCTTGTGAGACAGGATGCAGGCAGCAGTAGAGGGGACTTGCTTGACTCTTCCAATTTAGCTGGATGTGGTAGTGCATGCCTTTAATCCCAGTACTTGGGAAGCAGAGGCAAGTGGATCTCTGAGTTCAATGCCAGCCTGGTCTACAAAGTGAGTTCCAGGATGGCCAGGGCTACACAAAGAAACTCTGCCTCAAAAAATAGCAGTTGCAGCAGCAGCCACAACAACAACAACAAAACAAAACAAAAACAAAAAAATGAAAGAAAGGAAGAAAAGAATCTTCACACGTGCCATGAGATTAATGGGAGAGTCTGCCTTTGCCTTGGTTTACCATCTCGTGGTTTCCTGAGACTTGGCATTTTGGTTGCCGAGCACAGCAGCCACGCCTAACTTCCTCAGCCACCATTTCTGGTCTCTGCTTTCATACTGGTTTCCTCTGCTCCTTCTCTACACTGTAGGTAGAGGTGTCTTTGGATCCCCAGTTCCCTTGCTTGTAAACCTCAGTGATTGCCCACTGCATTGGTTTTCTCTTACAGCGGATCCAACTTGTGCAGACTTAGTACCACAAAACAGCAAACACACAGTCTCTCAGTTCTGCGTCAGAAGTTCCGTATCAGATTCATTGGATTACAACCAAGGTGCCAACATGGCTGGGTTCTTTTCTGGAGACTCCATGAGGAGAAGTTTCCTGCCTTTTTCAGCTTCTACAGGCCACCTACTCTTTGCTCCAAGCTGCTTCTGGAATCATCTCCATATCATCTGTATCATTTTGACTTTCATTTACCTTTCTCAGTCTGTCCTTTCTGTCTTCCTCTCTTCTAAGTATGATCATAAAACAAACAACTTAAATAAACGTTGAGATTGATTGAACCTGGAACCATCTTATCTCAGTGTCCTTGTGTGCATCTGCAGTATTTCTTTTAACAAGCTAACATTTCCAGGGTCCCTGGAGAGGGATGTAGAATCATTGGGGCCTATAAGTCTCTAACATTATTGATGTCATTGAGAAACCGATGTCAGTGTTAAATTATTCCACCCTCAAGTGACAAAATCCCACAAACCCGTTGTTTAGTCTCAGTACACTATCAACTTCCCTATTCTGGAATATGAGCACCTTCAGTTTCTGGGACCTGTCTTCCATGCTTCCTCTGGTCCTGGTCCAGGCTGACTGCTCTATCTGGGAAAACCTTTCTCCACCTCTTTATTTCACCAAGTCCTGTAATCCTCCCAGCCTTTCCATAGGCTTCACTTTCCCTGGGAGTCTCTGAAAATCTGTTCTACTCCCAGTCTTTTCCTCTGGATACCATGTAGTATCTCACACCCTCCCATGTTCCTGACTTGCTTATATTGCCTTAATATCCTTGTTCATCTGAATATCTTCTTCCCCCAGTGTAAGAAGCAATTAAAGACAGAAGCAATGGTAGAATCTCCACATGCCCCTTTAACTCCTTACTGAATGAATTAAAACATTGATTTTCTGTAATAGAAGGCAAATTATTTTTCTCTACAATAGTGGTTCTCAACCTTTCTAATGCTTCGACCCTTTAATACAGATCCTTGTGTTATGATGACTCCCAAATCATAAAATTATTTTCATTGCTATTTCATAACTGTAGTTTTGATACTGTTACAAATCATAATATAAATGTTTTTTAGAGATAGAGATTTTTTTTTTTCCGGAGCTGAGGACTGAACCCACGGCCTGCGCTTGCTAGGCAAGCGCTCTACCACTGAGCTAAATCCCCAACTCCTGGAGATAGAGGTTTGTTGAGAGGCGGCGGCCCACATGTTGAGAACTGTTGCTCAACAGGATCCATCTTACAAGTATTTGCTCATTCATTTAGGAAATATTTATTATGCATTAATGTGAAATACATGAATCCACAGTCAATAAAAATAGGAAATGATCACTTGAAAGTAATAAGAATACTAAGGAAATGGGGGTGTGGTCATGAGGACATGAATGACAGGTCTTCTCTTCCAGGAAAATAGACTTGGAAGTCAGTGAGCCAATCAACTTTAGTTCTGGAGATCATCAACACCTGGTTCAGAAAGCAGCAATTAAAAGTGGCCACTCTAAGATTGATCAGCCCTTCACATATTCATCCAGAAACACACCACAAGAAGCCATAAAGTACCCACGTTCCAAGCAAAGAGATACGGCAAATACCTATGCAGTACAAATTTCAGACGATGTTATCTCAGAGGAGACCATCACAAGTCCGCCCGGTCCCTTCGAAAGCATGTCTATCCGTAAAGGTAAGAGTAGAGTACTTGAGCTTGGAAAGGAGCAATGTTTTCTTAAAATATTTCCATGGTGTATACTGCCAGAAAGAATGGATTCTTTTTTATTTAGCTCTTCTGCCCTTTCTTACTATGAAGTGTGTCAAAGGCTGTTGTCATAGACTGCCATGATGTCGTCCAGGAGACTCAGAGATCCATAATAAACATATGACAAACAACATTCGGATTTTTTTAGGAAGTGTGAGTTAACTATTGATTATTAAATGTTTTGCCTACATACAACATGATCACATAATATTGGCTGAAGTCTTTAAACATTAATTCAATATCCTATATATTTATTCTGGAATAAACCAGGAATAGATTCATTGAGGAATGACAGAAATTTTTTAAATTGTGACATAAATAAATGAGAACTTTTTTTCTCATAAAATATGATGTTGAAGGGTAGGTACCTAAGGCCAGTGCCATGGTTCCCCATGTCCCCAAGCCTTTTTGGGGTCTGGATAGCTTGCAGGTGGACTCTGAACTTTGACTCCCAGTGATGCCTCTCCATGCATGGTTCGCTCTGCCATAGCCTGGAAAGAGGCCTTTGGGAGCTCTAGCCTTTCAAGGTGGAAAGGGAGAGGGCCAAAGAAAGACCAAGGGCCAAGGGATGACAAAGTTTCTGGCAGCTCCAAGAAGTCCCTTTCATGAGAGGAGTCCTAAGAGCTCTCTAAACTGGACCTTTCTAGAGGCTTCCCCAGAACCACATCCCTGCAAGAGCTTTCATCCACCTATAGTTGATCCTATCAGAAGCACATGACAGCTCTCTCTGTATTTTCTTTGTTGGGCTGATTATCATATTTCACAAGATCTGGATCAGAGCATAAGAAGCCAGGGCAGATGTATGTCTAACCAGTCAACTGCCTAGATGCCAAGACCTTCACAGTGCCATGTAAGAGCAGGAGTTCTGAAATTAGTCTTTACAGCTCTCTGAATGAAGAAGTTACAGTGTCATGTTGGAGATGTGGAAGCCATATTTAAAGAGGTAGAACTGAAATATATATATATATATATATATATATATATATATACATATGTGTATGTGTGTGTGTGTGTGTGTGTGTGTGTGTGTGTGTGTGTGTAGAAGCCCCCTCGCCAAAGTTAATGATTTACAGCAGTGTCTTCTGGAGACAGGTGAGCCTTTCTCTGCTTTCACAGGTTACACAGTATATCAGATGAAAGTGTCATGGAGAGAAGAAAATTATCAGGGTAGTGAGGGAAGAGTTATGGAAGGAAAACCTGTAATTCTTGAAGGCATCTCTATGAAAATACAATTTAAAATTCATTAAGTTCACCCATTTTAAGTGTACAATGTTTTCAGTACTTTTACAGATTTGCAGCCAGCACCATAATCAATTTGGGATCATATTCAATTCACTTCCAAATGAAATCCATCAGGAGTTCCACCCACCTTCCTTGGCCTTGCCAGAGGAATCTACTCTATAACCCTATGGATCTGCCTACTAAGGCCATTCATACAAGCAGGAGCACAAAGCATATGCTCTTTTGGAAATCTCTTCCTTCATGAAGCATAAGGTTTTAAGGTTCACCCACTTTGGAGCGTTAGTTCTTATTCATTTTATGGCCATACAGTATTCTATTGCCTGATGATAACACATGATGTTGATGTGTTTGTTACGAAGTTTGAATCCACTGGGAAAAGACCACAAACTCAATCCAATTTAGGATTAATGAATTTATTATCACTGCGAGCAGGATGACAGCCTTAAAGCCAAGATGAAGGCATGCCACCTGGAATGGGCTAGAGGAAGGGTCCTTAAAGGTGGAAACCACAATCATCTTGCTTTTCTGGAATGTGCAGCTACTCTAAAAGCTGTCTCACTCCCCTCAGCTAGCAAGGAGCTCTTTCTCACTCCCTGGTACACAGTCATAAGCAGGTTTATAAAAGCCAGAGCAAGCAGTTAATTATCTCACAGTCATTTTACAATTCTGAGGAGGGGGCAAGGAGTTAGAGTTGCCTGGAACTTACCTTTTAGAAATTTAGGATGAGTGCCCAGCACAACGTGCAGTTTTCCTTACCCATCACATATTTGTCAGTTGATAATTTGGCTGTTCTGCCTTTTGGTTATTGTGACTAGCGCTGCAACCAATATCCATGGAGAGCTCTAGCAGGTGTTGGCAGGCCTTGCCCTTCCCACTTCCCTCTCCCTTGTGAACCATAGGTTACATCCCTAAAGCTAGCTACCAAGGTCTATTCCCTTATTTGGACACTTTCTTATACCAGACTCATTCCTAAGGCTGATCACCAAGGTCCAACTATCAAACAATCAAAATCCCCTTCTGGCTAGCCTAATTAATATGCCATATCAAAATATGCCTTCACATCCTAGCCCATTCTAACACAGACCTCCCCTTTTTTCCTCTTTAAAAAAAATTCATGCCTGCAATGTCATTTGCTGCTGTTTTTACTTCCCCACGTGATAAAGGATCTCTCTATAAAAACAGGTGTTTGGGTGTGGTTTGTGCCTAATCCCGGGTCCGGGAGGGAGTACCCTGCTGTGTGCAGGTCCCATCAGTTCATATATCAGTTTTATATAAACTTATTTACACTTCTCTTAGAAGGAATGAGGGATTGTTGGATGACATCACAAGTATCCTTCACCTTTTGAGGAATGGCAAAACTTTTCCAAAACAGCTGCACCAGTTTTCCTTTCAACAATAATGTATGAAGTTTCCGGTTTCTCAACACCCTGGCCAACACTGGTTATTGTCTTTCATTCTGACTGCAGACATCCCAGTGATTGTGAAGCAGTATTACGTAAGAGTTTTCACTTGAGTTTTCCTTTTTCCTCCACTTTTATTGAAAATAGATTTTTTTTTCTCACGTAATATATCATGATTACGGTTTTCCCTCCCTCTACTCCTCCAAGGTCCTCCCCTCCCCTCCAATCCGGATCCACCCGCTTTCTGTCTTTCACTAGAAAACAAACAGGCTTTTAAGGGATAATAATAAAATACAACAAAATAAAGTATAATAAGGTAGAACAAAAACTATCATATTGGAGTTGGACAAGATAAACAGAAGGAAAAGAGCATAAGAGAAGGCACAAGAATCAGAGACCCACTCGTTCACAAACAGAGGAATCCCATCAAAACAGTAAACTGGAAGCCGTAATATATGCGCAGAGGACCTGGTACAGAAGGCTGTCAGCGCACAGCCTCAGTCTCTGTGAGTTCCTAGCAGCTTTGCCTATGTTCATTTAGATGGCCTTGTTTCCTTGATGTCGTACAACCCCCTGGCTCTTACACTTTCCTCCTCCCCTTCCAAGGGGTTCCCTGATCCCTGAGAGGAGGAATTTGATAAAGACATTCCATTTAGGGCTGAGTGTTCCAAGCTCATTCACGCTGCATGATGTCTTGCTGGGGGTCTTTGTATTTGTTCTCATGAACTGTAGGAGGAAGCTTTTCTGATGATGGCTGAGCAAGGCACTGATCTCTGAGTATAGCAGAATGTCATTAGGAATCATTTTATTGCTATTTTTTTTTTAGACCAGTAATATTTGGTTTTACCCTAGCTAGGTCCCTGGGCTATCTAGTCTCTGGTTCTTGGTCCTACAAGCAGTGTCAGGTGTGGGATCCATCTGGTGGAGTGGACCTTAGGTCCAATCAGTGATTGATTGGTATTCCCACAAGCTTTGTGCCACCATTGTACCAGCATATCTTGAAGAACAACACTGTAGATCAAAGCGTTTGTGGCTGGCTTCGTCTTTATGTGTCTCTTGTGGTAGCATGCAGAGTACTCTCCTGTACAAAGACACTAGCAAGTGGGGGTGAATGTAGGTGAATGTAGGGTTCTATGTAGGCACCAGCTCAGCTTCTCCATGCTCAGAGCTGTGTAGTGTTGTCTTCAGCAATGAGGCCTTGCTGTCAGCTTGTGGGGAGCCCAGTCTTGGCATCAGTCTTGATTGTTTGGGGGTTCCCTTGGGACCCCTTTGATCAACAACTCAATTAGATGTAACCCAATTCAGGTACAGGAAGCTTCACTTGATGATGAGATGACAAACTGGGGCTCTGTCTCCACCCTTATTGCTTTTGATAGGATGGCCATTTTTACTATGTTAATCCTACTGATCCATAAGCATGGGAGATCTTTCCATCTTTTGATACCTTCTTCAATGTCTTGAAGTTTTTTTTCATACATGTCTTTCAATTGCTTATTTAGAGTTATCCCAAGATATTTTATATTATTTGAGGCTATTGTGAAAGATGTTGTTTTCCTGATTACTTTTTTATTCTGTTTGTCATTTGTTGACAGGTGGACTGATTTTTGTAGTTAATTTTATAGCCAGCTACTTTGCTGAAAGTGCTTATCAGCTGTAGGAGTTTCCCAGTGGAATTTTATGATCACTTATTTCTATTATCACATCATTTTCAAATAAAGATACTTTGACGTCTTCTTCCTTTCCAATTTTTATCCCCTTGATCTCCTTCAGTAGTCTTTTTCCTCTAGCTAAGATTTCAAGTGCTCTGTTGAATAGTTATGGAGAGAGTGGACAGCCTTGTCTTGTTCTTGGTTTTAGCGGAACTGCTTTGAGTTTCTCTCCATTTAAGTTGATGTTATGGGACTGCTGTAGATTGCCTTTGTTATGTTGAGATGTGTCCCCATATCCCTAATCTCCCCAGAATTTTTATCATGGAGGGGTGTTGGATTTTGTCAAAGCCCTTTTTTGCATCTAATGAGATGATCATGTGGTTTTTGTCTTTTGGTTTGTTTATATGGTGGGTTACATTTATTTATTTATTTATGAATGTTGAACTATCCCTTCATCTCTGGAATGAAGCTTACTTGATCATGGTGGATGATTTTTTTGATGTGTTCTTGGATTCTGTTTGCAAGTATTTTATTGAGATTTTTAGCATCTATGTACATAAGGGAAATTGGTCTGAATTCTCTTTCTCTGTTGGGTTTTTATGTGGTTTGGTATCAGTATAACTGTGAGATCATAAAATGAGATGGTTAGTGTTCCCTCTGTTTCTATTTTGTGGAATAATTTGAGGAGTATTGGCATTAACTCTTCTTTGAAAGTCTGGAAGAATTTTTTGCTAAAACTGTCTGGCTCTGGGCTTTTTTTTTGAGAGAGACTTTTAATGACTACCTTTATTTCAGTAGGGTTTATAGGTCTGTTTAAATTGTTTATCTGATTTTTTTTCCGAGGCAGGGTTTCTCTGTGTAGTTTTGGTGCCTTTCCTGGAACTCATTCTGTAGCCCAGGCTGGTCTCGAACTCATAGAGATCCGCCTGGCTCTGGCTCCTGAGTGCTGGGGTTAAAGGCGTGTGCCACCCCCGCCCGGCTTGGACCCATTTTTCATTCAGTAGTGAGTTGTTCAGCTTCCCTGAGTTTGTCAGCTTTCTGTTGTTTCTGTTATTGTTGATATCCAGCTTTAGTCAATGGTGATCAGATAGGATGCAGGGTGTTATTTACGTTTTCTTGTATCTTTGGAGACTTGTTTGTATCCAAGTATGTGGTCAATTTTGGAGAACGTTTTTGAGGTGCTGAGAAGAAGGTATATTCTCATGTGGTTAGGTGAAATTTTCTATTTTAAGGCCTTTTTATTGTGCTTCAGCTATGTTGGAATACTCAGGACCTGCTGTGATAGGGTTGTTGAGCTCTAGTGGAGACATATTGTCCTCGATGTTATTGATTGTGTTTTTTTCTTTATTAATAAATTTTTTATTCATTTTTACATACCAACTGCAGATCCCCCTCTCATCCCTCCTCCTGCTCCCCCAGCCTTCCCCCCCCTCCCCCCCCCCCCCCCCCCCCCCCCCCCCCGCCACAAACCCACCCTCCATCCCCTCCTCCAAAACATTAAGGCCTCCCATGGGGAGTCAGCAGAGCCTGGTACACTCAGTTGAGGAAGGTCCAAGCCCCTCCCTCTTGCATCAAGACTATGCAAGGTGTCCCACCATAGGCATTGGGCTCCAAAAAGCCAGCTCATGCATCTAGGATAGATCCTTATTCCACTGCTGGGGGCCCCTTAAACAGACCAAGCTACACAACTATCTCACTTATGCAGAGGGCCTAGTCCAGTTCCAATGCAGGCTCCACAGTTGTTGGTCTAAAGTTCATGAGTTCCCACTAGCTTGGTTCAGTTGTCTCTGTGGATTTCCCCATCATGGTTTTGATGCCCCTTACTCATAGAATCCCTCTTCCCTCTCTTCAGTTGGACTCCTGGAGCTCAGCCTGGTGCTTGACTGTGGGTCTCTGCATATTGATTGTGTTTTAATACTGATGTCTAGGTATCTGGGTTTGGGAAGATTGCAATTCTAGGTGCTGATATCTTGTCTTTGTTCGTTCCTTCGTTTCTGTTTCCCTCACTGGCTCTTAGGAGAGTGTGGTATCTGTGTGTTGCCTGGTAGGAAATTGGGGATTGGACTTGGAGGCATGGAGGGAGAGGTGAAGATCTGTAGTTAGTTTGCCTGTTTGCCTGGTCAGAGTGGCCTGTGGGTTCCCAGGAAGACTTGCATGTTCATAATGATTAATGGTCTTGAACATCTTTTGCATGCTTGTTAGCTATCCACATGTCTTCTTTGGGGAATACCATTCAAATCCTTTGCACATTTAAAATATACCAACAATGACGTTATCATGTCCCATGATTCTGTGCATTGACTAGCCTTGGGTTTGACAGCAGGAGCCTTTACCTGCTGATCTCTCTCACCAGCCCCCAAGAAAACATTTTTAATAATTAGACTGGATACTCTTTTTGTTTGTCTATTCTTACAACTGGGTGTCTCTTTGTTGCTCCGTTTGGTTTCCACCTCCTAAGCTGAAGTATTCCTCTGGCTTCAGCCTTCTGAGTAGCTGGGATTACCAGTGTACCCCACTGTGTTGGCTTTAATTAGATATTCTTTAAAAGTTCTACAGAGATAAAAACACATTGTGCAGATTTGTGAAATTCTCAGAGAATTAAAGTACACACACACACACACACACACACACACACACACACACACACACACATACACACACTTAAAGAGGTTCTCCAGAGTCATTTTGTTCTCGAGTGGCGATGGGACATTCCGTTCACTGGACGGGAAAGTGTGTCTGGTTTCACCTTTGGACATTGTGTCTCATCTCCACAGGGTTCATCCTGAAGGTGTTCGTTGTCTTATCAGTCCAGCTGCTGGTCACTGCGACAATCATCGGCGTGTTTGTGTTCAGGTGCGTCTTTCTCACCGTCTACGATTAGACGCTACATTGCTCACGGGAATGCTCGAGGGATCAGCTTCCTTTAATCTGGAGCACTTGAAAATATGGTTTTTGTTCTTGGTTATTGTGGATGACATTCTTCCTGTAGAATGATATACTTCCTGAAGTACCTCTTAGGCTAACACAACAGGATAAAAGTTATTTTTCTTAAATTGTGCAGCAAATTTAAGAGGGAGCCCCTGGTTAAGACCTTCATTTTTAAAAATACCGAGGGCCGGGGCTGGAGGCACATAATTTTAATCCCAGCACTTGGGAGGTGGATGTCTGTGAGCCTAGATGTCTGCAGAGTTTAGAATTTAACTTCCTAGGCCAAGAACATTTTTCTTACTCTTCCTTTGGGCATTGTTTTCTTTTTAATTTTCTCTGAGCCACTTTCTCAAATATAACTGGCTAAGGAGAAATAGGTGAGATCATGGAACACTGCTAAATTCTGTAATTATTTGAGGGACTTTAATCCATCGCCAGTTTCATCCTATTGAAAGTGCTATTCAAAACACAAACCTTGAGTTCATTTATTTTAGCTTAAACATACATCAGTCTCAGTATTTTATTTTGTTTTTTGTTTTTTTTTTTTTTTGATATAGGGTCTCACTATGTAGCTCTGACTGTCCTCCCTATGTAGATCAGGCTGGCCTCACTGTGTAGACCCAGGCTGGCCTCAAGCTCACAGGCCTCTGCCTCTGCCTCTGCCTCTGCCTCTGCCTCTGCCTCCCAAGTGCTGGGATTAAAAGTATGTGCCCTCAGGCCTGGCCCTCAGTATTTTTAAAAATGAAGGTCTTAACCAGATGCTTCCTTTTAAATTTGCTGTATAATTTAAGAAAAATAACTTGTATAATGTGTCTTTCTTTTCTTGGTGCAGGGGATTTGAACCCAGGGCCTCACTCATGCCAAGCAAACACTCTCATGGGAATGCTAGCAGCCTATCTCTCCATGAAAAAGAATGTCTCAGTGCTTCCTCCCCATTTGTCCTCATGATCATTTAGAGTTTGCCCATCTTTCTCGTGACACTCTGAGACTTCTATTTTAGTTAGCAAAACTGACTGTTTTATGGAAACCTGTATTCTTCTTTCAACAGCAAACCTCTAAGACAGTGGGTCATCAGCGTGCCTTGGTTCATCTATGCACTCCTGTAAGTATCATTTGTGATTCTATGAATAGACCAAGATTTGATCACTATTAAAAATGTGGTAAAGAGCAACATTCTTGCTGGGTATGGTGATGCATGCCTATAAGCCCAACACTTAGGAGGTGAAGACAGAGGGATCAGGAATTCAAGGCCAGCCTTGACTGCATAAGACTCTGATTCAAAGTAACACAAACGAAGAACAAAAAAGCGTACAAAAACACCCAGGGTAAAGAGTAATATTCTTACATTTTATTTGTTTTTCTTTATGTGTATTTGTGTGTGTGTGTGTGTGCTGGTTTGTATGTGCACCCTGTGACACAGGTGTCCACAGAGAGTGACAGAGAATGTTGGATCCCCTAGAACTGGAGTTGCTGGGGCTTTGAAATTGTGCTATAAATAAATCAAACTCATTGGTGAAAATTTCATAGAGTTTTAATAGAACTTCTCTGTCTTTTTATAATTCACCATGAATCTATTTGTAACAAAGATTTTAAAAGTCAAGCTATTTGTGTTTGGAAACTTTAAAAAACTCATTTTGAAGGCTTAAAAGAGTAAGTAGGAAATAGCTATTTAGTTTGCTCTATATATCAGGTATGGGCATGTGAGGATACACTTGCGCCTGTGTCCCTCTGTCTGTCTCTGTGCACACTCCTCCCGTGAGGACACACCTGTGTCTGTGTCCTCTGTCTGTCTCTGTGCACACTCCTCCCGTGAGGACACACCTGTGTCTGTGTCCTCTGTCTGTCTGTGCACACTTCTCCCGAGTTTGCAAACTGAAGCAGTAACTGGTGGTTTCCCATCCCCAGCCCAGCGTGCTTTATTGTGATCATCGTGCTCGCTTGCTGTAGGGATGTCCGGCGTCAGGTGCCCATGAACTACATTCTCCTGGCATTATTTGTGAGTAACTCCCCTCGGCAGGTGCTGCAGCCTCCCTCTGACACATCCTTCTGTCGCCACATTACCTTCACTACTTTTCCTGTGGGAACTTCTGGTGCAGAAAGGCAGGGAGGGAACATTTGTACAGAAATAGTAACTTCTCCGGAGACAGTGTCCTCACCCCTTACGGAGTTGGATTCTAGGTCACTCTTGTTCTGGCAAGCTTGCCTCTCTTGAAGCCATTTAAGAACCCACACCCAAGTCAGGGCTGTGTCTGCAGTTAACCTAGTCAATCTCTGTCAGGAATAACAAACACATTTCTCATTAAGGAGTAGCTTCCACTTCTGACTCCCAAGCCTATGAACTAGAAATTTAATTTTCTTCATTTTGTAAGATGTATTTTACTGCAAGTCCCTCATGGGAGTAGAAGTCATCTCTGAGCTTTGGCTCTTCCCCAGTTCAACGATGTTCCTGTCAGTACAGGGGTCTTCCTGCTGACAGAGCTGAGGCTGTGGTGTAGACCCTTGACTACCCACATTTCCCCACAACCTGGTCCACCACCAGGCCTCATCACATCTATGCTTCTGTATCACCAATGCTGTTCTAGCCATACGAATCACGTGACCACCCTTTTTATAGCCAATTCTAGGTTTGTTTGCTTGCTTGCTTCCTTTTTTCTGCTCACGGGGACCCAAGAAACAAATAGCTGAACTCCTAGACTCCTTAAACCCAAATACAATCAGAATCTCTGCTGTTTCACTCCCACCAACCCAGGCTCAACACCCCAGAGAATTCTAGGGCTTATCATGAGACTGAGCAGCACCTCAGAGTCACCCTCTAATACCGACTCTCTCGAGAGTCCGGCCAAACCTTGTGAGTCCCAGCGGCTTGGTTTTCAGCAGCTGGCTGGTAGAAATTGCCTGGGCTGTGTTAATGCTCTTGGAACAGTCCAGTGCTGGCCTGGCATGACTAAGGATGGTGCCAGCCTTGTGTTTTGTTTCCTCCATGTAGTGCTGCCCATTCCTTTCTATGCAGATTGACTTCTAGAGCCGGTTCCAAATCAGATTTGAGGTGGTTTACACCAATATATCTGCAATATGAGAAGAAAAATACCTCGACAGGGAAGTCAAATGGAAGGACAAATAGAACAGGGAGGCAAACACAGTCGTTAGATTAGTGTGCAAAATGCACTGGGTGCACACTTGACTGTCCCAATGTTGGATTTAATTCTGCGTCTGCTGCTGCTCAAAGCAAGCAAATGCATGGGGCCAGTGACGTGAGTGCATGGGTGCCAACCAGTGTTTTTATAATTTACCCGATGTGGGAATAGGTGGGGGAATATGGCTGTCTGCCACCCACAGTGGTATTTTCTTCCAAGTACTGAGGAGCCTTTCTTGTCTGTAGTGGATCCCCAGCTCATTGCCCAGACAATGAAGAAAGATGCCCCAGTTCCTGTACTGTATTGTGGACTGTGTGGTATTTTCACAAGGCCCTTGCCCCCACCTGTCTTCTCAAGACATTTTTCTTTATCTTTTCCTGGCTCAATTATTTCCTACTTCTCCATCTCCAGGAGAGATCCTGAAGCAGCAGATGATGGGCAGGGGCAGGGGCAGAGAACTGCTTTGTCACTATGTAGTCCTGGCTGGTCTGGACCGGGTATAGAGACCAAGATTGCTTCACACTCACCTCTCTCTGCCTCCTGAGTGCTGGGATTAAAGGTGTGCACCACCACAACCTGGCTATGTTTGAACTTTTTATTTTAAACATTTAAATAAAGGCTAAGGATGCGACTCAGCTGTAGAACACTTGCACAGCATGGGTGAGGCCCTGAGCTTGATTCTCCAGCACCACCACAAATATTTTTTTTTTAAATGAAGGAAGCCAAAGAGATGGCTGAGTTGGTAACACATTTGCTATTCAAGCATGAGGTCTGGAGTACAGATCCTGAGCACCAACGTGAGATCCAGGAGAATGTCTCTAACTCCAGCATTGAGGAAATCTGAACAGGGTTGAGACAGGTGGATCCCAGAAGATTATCTGCCAGTCAGTCTAACCAAATCAATGAGATCTAAGCTCAACTCTAAGCTCACTTAAAATAAGGTGGGAAGGAGCTGAGAAGACAGCACACACGGACCCCTGCCCCATTTCATGTACTTATGAGCACGTGCACCTGCGTGCACACACCCCCTCATATAAAACTCTCTCACACACACACATAAACACATACAAACATATGCATCAAAATGCATACAGAGATGTACACGAAGGCTGGGTGTGTTGGTGAACACTTGCAATTCCATCCCCTAGGAGGCAGAGTCAGGAAGATCACTGTGAGTCTGGGGCCATAGTGAGTTTCTGGTTTACATAGTGAGTTTCAGGCAGTCTGGGTTATACAACAGAACCAAAACTAAGACAATTTAAAAAGTTTAATAGGCTAGATTTTTTTTTCAAAGGAAAGGTGTGCCCAATAGGTGAGGTGGTGCATACCTTTAATCCCAACATATGGGAGACAGAGGCAGGTGGATCTCTGTAAGTTCCAGGTCAGCCTGGGCTACAGAGTGAGGCCCTGTGTCCAAACAAACAAACAAACAGGTTTAAGCTACTGTCTGCAAAGGGGCTTTCCTCATGGGGCTTTGCGAGTGGCCACTAAAAGGGGCCATACTGTCTAGGGCAAGTAACGGCTTTATTTTCTAGATTCAGCATCCTGCCCAAGTGTTAGGAAATAACATGGAGAAAAACATTTCAGAAAAAGTGTTGAGAGAAAACAAGAAAATATTCACTCTGGCCACACAGACAGCTTTTGTCCCCTAGAATCTGTGACTCTGAGTCCCTGTCCTGAGCATGCTTGCCTGTCTTCTCTCCCTCCCTCCCTCCCTCCCTCCCTCCTTCCTTCCACCAGTCTCTCTCTCTCTCTCTCTCTCTCTCTCTCTCTCTCTCTCTCTCTCTCTCTCTCTCTCTCTCTCTCTCTCCCTCCCCCCACCAACTGGAGAAATAGGAAGTAACTGCACAAGGAGAAAATTAAAACGACATGTCTTAGGAGGAGGGTTAGAATCAAGCACATTATTGTGGAGGTATCATTTGCACATAGAATAGATCTGGTGGAGATAAGGACCCCTTCTTAGATACATTAATGAAGTCCAGCATGAGGCAGTCACCCACTGGGAAATCCAGAAAAGCCACTGGGGACTTTTGGACCCCAATTCTTTTCCCGCCTATGGTGGGTTGGGGAACTCCAAAGCCAGTCTGGTGTTAGCATTTTGCTTAGGATATGCTTTCCTTCTTGATCTCTGGGACCAGAGGACTTCCCTGGTCCTTCCCATAGACCACCAAGTTCCCGAGTGTCCTGTGGGCTGGAAAACCTCTTCAGTCCTGCAGCTGCTTGCTGTCTGTGGTCCTGAGCCTGGCTGTGGGTCTGCCAAGTGTATGTCAGTCTCACCCTCGGGCTCGCTTGCCCACTGGATCTCACCTGCCATCCCTCTCCCACATTGCCCACAGCCTGGTTCCATCTGGGTGGCAGGAATCCTTCAGGACATCAGCCTTGTGCTGTCACCTCTGCTAGGAGCTGGTCTGCAGCGCCATATCCCAACTCTGAGGTCTCATCCCAGGTCTGAGGCCTGAAGAAATATTTTGTTAGCAGGGACCACGGGTAGAGGCATTATACAAGTGTGGGCAAAGCATTATGGGAACAGCATCTGCTGCTCTGATGGAGTGTGTAGATAATGGGATGGCCCTGTTTGACCAATGAGGGTGTGGTCCACAAATGAACCTTTTACCTTGGTTTCTTAGCTCGCCATTAGTACATAGTTCATGCACTGAATATGTGGAAGTTACTGCAACTCTCTTGGACGTTCTTACTAACGAGGGGATGTTCTTCCTCCAGTTCTAGGGAGAATGTGATTGGAGTAGTTAGTTGTACCATTTGTTCCCCATAACCACCTTGTAGCTGGGGTCCCAGGGTTGTGCTCATGTCCCGAATCGCTCCCTAGATCCTGCCCAAGTGCACACATGATCCTGCCCAAGTCACCTCTCCCACAGTCTAGGACTTGTCCTCATGCTTGGAGAAACAGGCTGCTGATTGACTGTGAATTTTGTTTTTAGACACTCCTGGAAGGTCTGCTGCTAGGAAGTATGTCCGTGTAAGTCCCTGCCACATACTTCTGTTTTACTGTGTACGCTTTTCTCTGAGTGTGTCTGAACAGTAACCACAGTCTCTGCTTCCAGCTTCTATAAAGCAGAAGAGATTCTGTGGGCAGCGGGAGCAACCACTGTGGTGACGTTAGCGCTTACTTTATTTGCTCTCCAAACAAAAGTACGTATTACTGACACAGCTCTCTAGCGTAAGGGAGTTGTGGGCTGTGTTCCTGCGTCCCTCCCCACCCGTTCTCACCCACACCTGCCTGCTGTCTCATGGGCCTCAACAGCATGGCCTTCCCTTGTCAGAGACTGGGCCAGGGAGCCTCAGCTGGAAACTGGAGGGACAGAGGAGAAAGGCACTTATTCCCACGGCACCCTCCCTACAGGTTCCTCTTGGGCTAGCCACATTCCTTACCAAAATTCACTTACAGCTTGTCTTAACATGGCCAGCCTAACACAGCCCAACTTCCTGGATTCCTGTGTCCCTGTCCCTTGGGCCCTACGGGCAGTCAGAGGGGCTCACCTCATTCCTTTCAGCCTACTTTTGGAGGTGGGTCCTTTACACACCAACAGCCCTCCTCAAGTTATACTATTGGGTGTGCCCTGTGTTCCCTGCTGGGGCCCTGGTTTAAAATTCAAAGGTTTTCACAGTTACTAGGACTCAAACGCCACTACTACCCCCAATATAATTTACGACTGCTCTTATTTTGGTGGGGTACTAGGGATTGACTGAGGGCCTTGTGAATGCCAGGCAAGGACTCTACCACAGAGCCACACCCCAACCAATGGCCATTTCTTTTTAACTATGATGTCAGAGTCTCCCCAGCCCTAAGATGCTTCTGAGGATTTAGTGGGCTCTTTCCAGTGTCCCCGTCTTTCATTTATGGACACCTTGCTTTAGTAAATGGTATCACCTTAGTCAGTTTAATAACTAGAGGGGAATATTTCTCTATTGTTTGCCACACCTCATAAGGACAACTTTATACACGAGCAGAATTTTAGTCTTTGTGGGTGGAAAAAGGAATGTTCCCGGGAGGTAGAGGGAGCTGTTAACATATTTAGTCAAGTTGTATCAAAAGTACTCAGTCAGTAAAGTGATTGCAGCTTACGAGGGGTGACCTGCGTTTGATCCCTAGCGTCCATGTAAAGGTCGCAGCCCTGGGAGGGTAGAGCCTGGCTCCCCGGAGTCTCTGGCCAGTTACCCTAGCCTAATTTCTGAGCCCTAGGTCCTTGTGGAGATGGCTCTCAAACCATAAGGAATAACGCCTGAAGGGGACCTGTGACCTACACACACACACACATACACACACACACACACACACACACACACAAAGTAGAGCTTCAGTTTAATTTAGAATCCGATCAATTTAATTTGCCATCTCAAGGGTAGTCCTAGTAGAAGCCAGCCTATGTGTAAACAGAAGTGCCTTCCTAGAGTGAGTGAGGTGAGCTAGTGATGGAGGCAGGTTCACTGAGCCAGTTAAAGCCCCCAGGGCCCACAGCTGGTTAAATCACTCACAGGTAAAGAATGACATGAGCTCAGGGAACAAAGCATTCTGTTGAAAACCGCCTTAAACGATTCCAGGTGTGTTTGCACGAAAGCCTTCAAAAGGCAGCTGAACTGTTCAGCTAAGCATTTTTTTTTTTTTTTCTGATGAAGTTATGTGGTGAGAGTTTACACAGTTCTCCCCTCTACAAGGTTCTCAAGGACTCCGGGGGAAATGTGGTCATGCACTGAGCATGAGTTTTCTAATGAACCCCAAAGTGTCCCAAAGAGGTGTAAATTAAACAGAATGTCCACTCAGTTTAAATATAATCCTTCTCAGATCCACTCCTTTGGGCTGAGTGACAGTTTCATGTAGATTCAAGATGCTCACTCAGCCTCTTGGCTTCTTCCTGCCTTTTAATCTATGGTGGAGGCTAGGAGTTTGGAAGGAGCGTGTGCCTTTTGTGAATTTTGGTGATAGCGGATGAGGGCCTGGTAGCAGAGGCATCATTAGCCATTTCTGTTCTTGAGTGATGGCCTCCTGCTGTTAGTGCTTGCTGAGTGGGTCCTGCTGGGTTGGGTCCCTGAGCTGAAAGTCCAGCCTAGATATGACTCAGATACTGAATTTGTCCAGAGCTGACAGAGATCCCTTCTGAATCATAAGGGGGGCCGAAGGCGCTACAGGTCTAAGAAGAACACATGGAGAACTAATCCTGTGTGTGGTAAGGACAGAGGGAAAAAATGCATGAAAATACCGTGAATATTTTCAGTATTTTAAAACTTTTCAACCCTTTTAATAAAAACAAAACACCAAAAATACATGGGCCATCTTTAAAGTTAAAGCCAAGATTCACATTAATAAGTGCCAAAATTATAAAATAATCATTAACAGTAATTTTTGAAACTGTACTTATTATCTTGTGAATATGTGTATACAAATTTGAAAAAGACTCAGTTAATGTAATGAAATAACTTGTTTCATTTTCCTAATGTTTTCTATGTATGTATGTTCTTTAAATATGAATAGTTATGATCACATTATACACATAAATTTATACCCTACTCAATTTATCTTTTTATTAGAGTTTAGCAGAGATTCTGGTATCCTAGGTTGGCTTTGAACTTGTTATGTAGTGGAGCATGACCTTAAACTTCTGATCTGCCTGCCTCTACCTCTTGAGTGCTCGGATTACAAGTGTGTGCCACCATATCTGGTTTTAAAGGAGAAATTCTTATACATAGAAAAATAGAATAAATACAATGAATTCCCATGCACCTTTCACCCAGTTTAAAAATTTATCAACTCCTGGCTCTCATTATTTGATCTTAACTCCCACCATTTCCTCCTCCTCCTCCCCGACGCAAGTCGCAGGGACTGGGATGGTTTTATCATTTAGGGGCAATTTCAATGCTTGGGGCTGAGGCATTCCCATCCTAAGAAAAGGCTAGGATAAATTGTGCATAGGGTAGGCGATGCATCGTAAGAACATTTGAGATCCCATCCAGATGATGATGCAGTCACACCTGCTGCTTATGTCTCCCCAGTGGGACTTCACCTTGCTGAATGGAGTGTTGTTTGTTTGCCTCTGTGTCCTCTTCGTCTACGGGATTATCGCACTCGTCATACGATCCTATGTAAGTGACTCATTCTGAAACCTTCAAGAAGTACTCAAGATGAGGGAAGTACTGGCTGTGTCCGCACAAGGCCTCGAGGGCTCTATTGTTATCACTTTCATTGTTATCTGTGGTGACAGGGATTGAAGTCAAGGCCTTGAGCAGGTTAGGCAAGCACTCCACCTCTGAGCTACAGCCCCAGCTTTTAGGAAACCGTCCTTGAGATAAAAAATAACTGCAGTGGTTTGCACAGGCCAGCAGCTGAGCAGGTATATGAATCACACTCCTGTCCTGTTACCTGAGTGTGTCTTTGGGCCCATCTTGTTGCACACACAGGAATCAGTGGAGAAGTACCGTAGACAGGAATCTAGTGTGGGAAGATTGATCCCCTACTTGAGACAGCTGTTGTCCTTTCCCAACAGAGTCCTTCCTGGGGGGACCCTGTCCTCTGTGGTAGACAGTGCATTCTCCTGCAGAAGTGGGAGAAAGGCTTCTCTAGCTAGAGGCTCCAATGGCACCCACAGAAGGTGGCTTAATGTCCACACAGCTCTCTCTCTGTAGTCTGTATTCATTGAGTTTTTACTAAGTGTCAGACATAGACCTTGCGTATGTTCTCACTGAGCTATCTAATTCAACTTTCAGAACGTTCCCGAACATTATTCTTTGTCTATTTCATCGATGAGCAAATAGGCTCAGGGGACTTTAATTCATTCAGGGTCCCCAGGGAATGAGGGACAGAGGTAGCGTGGAGGTCAGGTTTGTGTGACTTTTAGGCAGTCTCCATTGCTTTGCCCACGATCTGTCTCTAGAGCAGAAATGGAGAGAGCTATATATGACATGCTATGGGGTCCCAGAGTGCCTTATGGAGAGCTGCCTGGGACCTGGAACTATTTGACTAAAGTTCTGTGGCCAACTTGTTCAAATGCTGAACCAAAGCATTTATTTGGCAGCAAGTAGACTTTTTACATATCTGTAGACATGTGACTAGGAGTTCTGTCTGAGCCCATTTGGTTTGATGAATAAGCATGTTTGTTATAGCTAGGGAGGTGGTATCTGTCCATTGCAAACGAATTCTGACATCACAAAGATGTACCTTGTGTTTTTTGATTTTGTTGCTTCGCTTGCTTGTTCGATTTTTTAAGATTGTCACACAGTGTAGCCCTGGCTGGCACGTAACTCACCGTATAGACCGGGTTGACCTTTAACTCATAGAGATCATCCTTTTTCTGCCTCCTAAGTGCTGGGACTACAGCTGTTCGCCACCCCACCTGGCACCAAGATCTATACTAAAAGACTACAGCTCTCCACAGTTTCTCAGTGGGTTCCATAGGTCTTTACAGTATCCCTAGCATGTGGAGACTGTGTCTCCTACAAGATAGACAGATCTCATCCCCATTCTCACAAGTATCTCCAAGCTACAGTCTTACACATGCCTCAGCAGAAGATTCTTGTCCTAAGTCCACACACTTGACATGGGCAACTTCGAATCCCCGGGATTCCAGGTCCCACAAGCTCTCCGATTGGCACTCTGAAGCTACTGTGCTCCCCAGATTGTGCCATGGTTGACTGTCTCCCCTCTTCACCAAGAACTTCTTACAGGAGCTCTGCCAGTCCTCCTTGGGACCAGCTTTCTCCTCCTTAAGTGTTCATGCTACATTTTCTCAGATGTTGTGTGTTACTGTATCCTTTTCATGTGAGCCAAACCCTGGGTGTTCAGATATGCCTCATATTTTCTGATCAGGGAAAATACCAGTCAGATTGGCTTGGGCAAAAGTCCTGGGAATTCATGGGTCTGGAAAAGATCTAAGACTCTAGCACCAGCAACCTCACCTTTGTGTATGGGTCTGGGGCGACAGCCACCTCTACTTGTACAGTAAAGGCCAAGAACTGCCTGTTGACAGACTGGCGCGTGTGTGTGAAGGATGGCAGGTCCCAGCAGAGCTCCCCACTGCTTGCCATGGTTTCTGCTATCTTTCCTCACACTCTCCACCTAGGGGGTGTGTGATTATTGTGTCCAGAACCACTCAGGCCGCGCTTGAGGGAAGGCAGATTCTCTAGAAGGGTTATGCAGCTGGAATGGGAAGTGGACCCTGGATAATGCATTGTCCTTGCCCCGCTCCATGGAATCCGAAGCACTCACTTGGTGATCTAGAAGATCAGCACATACTTTGAGTGCTTTCTGGATAAAGCGGTGGACACTGGTGATTAGGTCAAGGAGAGGCTGATTGCCATGGGCTTGACTGTCTGTCCTCATAATAATGGGTCCTTCTCTGAGGGCTGTGACTCCTGGAAGCACTTCCGGCACTCCAGATCTCGTTAAGTTCTAACTCTTTCTTTCTGTGCAGTGGCTACATCTGGTGTATGCAGCGCTCGGAACACTACTCTTCTCCATGGTAAGTCCTGTTTTCCCTCTGTGCTGAAGACCATGGTGTACACACAGGCCTCGTGCTGGTCAGCGGAGTCAGCCATTCACTAGAAACATTCCAACAACTCACTCAGCAGAGCTGGGTGGCCTTTCTAATCTATGAAAGTATCACATTCCTGGGCTGGGGCTGTACCTCAGGGGTAGACTGCTTTCCTAGCACAGGACCTTGAGTGTGGTCCCTACCACAGCACAAACACAAAGTGCAATGGAGGCAGAGTTTCTCTGTGTCTCGGCGGCTGCTCCCAAATAACCACTCAGAGACTTATTATTTATAAATGCTTGTTTATAAGCATAGCTCAGGATTGTTACTAACTAACTCTTACAACTAAATTAACCCATTTCTATTCATCTACATTCTGCCACGTGGTGTTACCTCTCTTTCATCTTGCACCTCCTGTTTCCTCTCAGTGTCTGGCTGGTGACTTCTCTGACTCTGCCCTTCTTCCCAGTGTCCTTAGTCTGGTTTTTCCATCTAACCTTATCCTGACCAGCTATTGGCCTGCCAGCTCCTTTATTAAACCAATCACAGTGTAATTTACACGATGCACAGCAATGCAAATAACGACCTTCCTTCAAAGAGTTAATATGTGAGAAGAGAAGGGATTGTGTAGAAGCCTCAGTGCTTATTGTCACAAGGAGTGGCTTGATTTGATCAGACCAGTCTCTCATTTCTCAGATGCCTCTGGGAATCCCTTTCTTTCTGTTTAGTCCCATCTTTTGCTGTCTCAGTTTTACAGTTATTTTAAGGTTTTCAAAATAATACATGTGGATATTTTAAAATTCAAACGACACAGTGGACTGCAAAAGGAAAGGCGAATCTCCCCTTTCTCTCCATTGCTCAGAGGTAAACACAAAGCAGAGTCTGGGAGCCCTGCTGCGGTCTCTCTACATGTCATAGCATGACCTCCTACACTGAGGTAGTCACACCGTGTAAAACATTTTGCCTTAGCATTTTACTTGACAGTAATGGTCTCTGGGTATTAGTAGAGTTGTGTCAAACTCATTCTTAATTAGGCCTGTGCTTTTTCCATCTTATTCTTTTATCAGCACTTCTTACAGCATTAAAAAAAAATGTGTGCAGTGCTGTGGATGAAACTCAGGGCTTTTCCCGGGTCAGGCAAGGCTTCCCCTGTTGATCCAGACCTGTCAAGGTTTCAAAGCAAGCCCCAGTGATTCTCCTCTCTCCACACTCAACAGTTCTGAGATTACAGGCACATGGGTGGCCATGATTTTTTTTTTTAACATGGGTACTGAGGATTTGATTCTATGTCTTCACACTTTGGAAGCAAGTCCTCGTACTCAAAAATCAAGTGTTCATAGGTGTGTGGATTTACTTCTGGGTCTTGGATCCAATTCCATTGATCAACCTGTCTTTAGTGCCAATATCATGTGGTTTTTATTACTATTGCTCTGTAGTACTGCTTGAAATCAGGAATGGTTATACCTCTGGAATTTCTTCTATTGTACAGGATTGTTTTAGCTATTCTAGGTTTTTTGTTTTTCCATATGATGTTGAGTATTGTTCCTTCAAGGTCTGTAAGGAATTGTATCAGAATTTTGATAAAAATTGCCTTAAATCTATAAATTACTTTTGTAAGATGGCCATTTTTACTATATTAATCCTACCAGTCCATGAGCATAGGAGATCTTTCAATCTTCTAATATCTTCTACAATTTCTTTCTTCAAAGACTTGAAGTTCTTTTATACGGCCTTTCACTTGCTTGGTTAGAGTTACACCAAGAAACTTTATATTATTTGTGGCTATTGTAAAGGGTGTTGTTTCCCTGATTTCTTTCTCAGCCTGTTTATCCTTTTTATATAGGAGGGCTACTGAATTTTTTGAGTTAATCTTGCATCCAGCCACTTTGCTGAAGGTGTTTCCGGTAGAATTTTTGGGGTTGCTTATGTATACTATCATATCATCTGCAAACAGCAATACTTTGAATTCTTCCTTTCCAATTTGTATCCCTTTGATCTCCTTTAGTTGTCTTATTGCTCTAGCTAGAACTTCAAGTACTACATTGAACACATATGGAGAGAGTGGACAGCCTTGTCTTGTCTCTGATTTTAGTGGAATTGCTTTAAGTTTCTCTCCATTTAATTTGACGTTGGCTGTCTGCTTTCTGTATATTGTCTTTAGGATGCTTAGGTATGTATGTCCCTTGTATCCCTGATCTCATCAAGACTTTTATTTATTTATTTATTTATTTTTGTTGTTGTTGTTTTTTCAAGACAGTTTCTCTGTGTTGTTTTGGTGCCTGTCCTGGATCTCGCTCTGTAGAACAGGCTGGCCTCAAACTCACAGAGATTCACCTGCCTCTGCCTCCCAAGTGCTAAGATTAAAGGTGTGCGCCACTACCCCCTGGCCTTCTCCAAGACTTTTAAAATGAAGGGTGTTGCATCTTATCAAAGGCTTTTTCAGAATCTAATGAGATGGTCATGTTTTTTCCTTTCAGTTTGTTTATATGGGGAATTACATTGACAGATTTTCATATTTTGAACCATCCCTGCATCTCTGAGATGAAGCCTACTTGATCATGGTATATAATCTTTTTGATGTGTTCTTGGATTCTGTTTGCGAATATTTTATTGAGTATTTTAGCATCAATGTTCAGGAGGGAAATTGGTCTGTAATTCTCTTTCTTTGTTGAATCTTCCTGTGGTTTGGGTATCAGGGTGACTGTGGCCTCATCAAGCGAACTGGGCAATGTTCCTTCTGTTTCATTTTGTAAAATAATTTAAGGAGTATTGTTGTTAGCTCTTCTTTGAAAGTCTGGCAGAATTCTGCACTAAAACCACCTGGCCCTGGATTTTTTTTAATTGGGAGATTTTTAATGACTGCTTCTATTTCCTTGGGGGTCATAGGTCTATTTAAATTGTTTATCTGATCTTAATTGATAAGTGATATCTATCAAGAAAATTGTCCATTTTTTTTTAGAATTTCCAATTTTGTGGAATACAGGTTTTTGAAGCATGACTAATGATTCTTTGGATTTCCTTGGTGTCTGTTGTTATGTCCCTCTTTTCATTTCTGATTTTGTTCATTTGGATATTCCTTCTCTGACTTTTGGTGAGTTTGGATAAGGGTTTGTTTATCTTGTTGATTTTCTCAAAGAAACAACTGTTTGTTTCATTAATTCTTTGTATTGTTCTCTTTGTTTCTATTTTATTGATTTCAGCCCCGAGTTTGATTATTTCCTGTCATTTACTCCTCTTGGGTATGTTTGCTTCTTCTTGTTCTAGAGCTTTCAGGTATGCTGTTAAGTTGCTAGTGTGAGATCTCTCTAATTTCTTTATGCAGGCACTTAGTGCTATGACCTTTCCTCTTAGCACTGCTTTCATTGTGTCCCCTAAGTTTGAGTCTGTTGTGCATTCATTTTCATTGAATTCTAGGAAGTCTTTAATTCTTTCTTTATTTCTTCCTTGGCCCAGTGGTTATTCCGTCAAGAGTTGTTCAGTTTCCATATGTTTGTAGTCTTTCTGCTGTTTCTGTTATTGAAATCGAGCATTAATCCATGGTGGTCTGATAGGATACAGGGTTTTTGGGTTTTTTTTTTTCCCCCCGCTTTTCTTATATCTGTTGAGACTTGCTTTGTAACTGAGTATGTGGTGAGTTTTGGAGAATGTTCCATGAGATGCTGAAAAGAACATATATTCTTCTGTGTTTGAGTGAAATGTTCTGTCCACATCTGTTAGGTTCGTTTGAGTCATAACATAGTTAATTCCGTTATTTCTCTGTTTAGTTTCTGTCTGGATGACCTGTCCATTGGTGAGAGTGGGGTGTTAAAAGTCTCCAGCTATTAATGTGTAGGATTTGATGTGTAATTTAAGCTTTAGTAATGTTTCTTTTACAAATGTGGGTGCCCCCAAGGCAGGGGGATCGGGATCTGTCCCGGTACATGGGCAGGCTTCTGGAATCCGGTGCCTGTGGTGTGACGCCTTGCACAGTCTTGATGCAGTAGGAAGGGGCTTGGACCTGCCTAGGCTCAGTGTGCTGGGCTCTGCTGACTTCCCATGGGAGACCTCGATTTGGGGGAATGTAGGGTGGCAGGGTGGCTTGGGAAAGAGGGCTGGGGGGTGGGAGGAGGAAGGAGGGGGTTTGTGGATAGTATGTGGAGTGAGTAGAAAATTTCTTAATAAAGAAAAATGAAAAAACAAAGAACAAAAACAAATGTGGGCGCCCTTGCATTTTGGGCATAGATGTTCAGAATTGAGAAGTCATCCTGGTGGATTTTTCCTCTGATGAGTATGAAGTGTCCTTACCCATCTCTTTCGATTAATTTTGGTTGGAAGTCTATTCTGTTAGGTATTAGAATGGCTACATCAGCTTGCTTCTTGGGTCCGTTTGCTTGGAAAATCTTTCCCAAAAGTTTACTCCTAGGTAATGTCTATCTTTGATGTTGACATGTGTTTCTTGTATGCAGCAGAAGAATGGATCTTTTTTTGAATCCATTATGTTAGCCTGTATCTTTTTATTGGGGAATTGAGTCCATTGATATTGAGAGATATTAATACCAGTGATTGTGAATTCCTGTTATTTTGATGGTGGTGGTGGTGGTGGTTGTGTGAGTGTGTGTATGCACATACATGTGCTTGCTCCTCCCTTCTTCTGATTTTGCTGGTATGAAATTATTTATTTCATGTGTTCTTGAGTGTAGTTAACCTCCTTGGGCTGGAGTTTTCCTTCTAGTATTTTCTGTAGGGCTGGATTTGTGGATAGATACTGTTTAAATTTGGCTTTGTTATGGAATATCTTGTTTTCTCCATCTATTGTAATTAAAAGTTTTGCTGGGTATAGTAATCTGGGCTGGCATCCGTGGTCTCTTAGAGTCTGCAAGACATGTGTCCAGGCCCTTTTGGCTTTTAGAGTCTCTGTTGAGAAGTCAGGTGTAATTCTAATAGGTCTGCCTTTAAATGTTACTTGGCCTTTTTCTCTTGCAGCTTTTAATAGTCTTTCTTTGTTCTGTACATTTAGTGTTTTGATTATTACATGTTGGTGGGGGTAGGGGGCTTTCTTTTCTGGTCCAATCTATTTGATGTTCTGTAAGTTTCTTGTATGTTTATCAGCATCTCTCTTTTTAAGTTAGGGAAATTTTCTTCTATGATTTTGTTGAAAATATTTTCTGGGCCGGGCGATGGTGGTGCACACCTTTAATTCCAGCACTTTGGAGGCAGAGGCAGGTGGATCTTTATGAGTCCGAGGCCAGCCTGGTCTACAGAGTGAGATCCAGGAAAGACGCAAAGATACACAGAGAAACCCTGTCTCGAAAAACGAAACAAAAAAAAAATTAAAAAAAAAAAAAGAAAGAAAATATTTTCTGGGTCTTTGAGCTCGGAATCTTCTCCTTCCTCTATTCTTACTATTATTAAGTTTGGTCTTTTCATAGTGTCCCAGATTTCCTGGATATTTTGTGTTAGGAACGTTTTAGATTTAACATTTTCTTTGATCAATATATCAATTTCTTCTATCATATTGTACTGGCTAGTTTTGTGTGTCAACTTGACACACGCTAGAGTCATCAGAGAGGAAGGAGCCTCAGTTGAGGAAATGCCTCCACAGGATCCAGCTGTAAGGCATTTTCTTAATTAGTGACCAATGGGGGAGGGGCCAGCCCTTGGTGGGTGGTGCCATTCCTGGGATGGTGGTTCTGGGTTCTGCATGAAGGCAGGCTGAGCAAGCCATGAGAAGAAAGCTAGGAAACAGCTTCCCTCAATGGCCTTTGTATCAGCTCCCTCCTCCAGGACCTTGTCCTGTTTGAGTTCCTGTCTAGACTTCCTTCAATAATGAACAGCAATATGGAAGTATAAGCCAAATAAACTCCCTTCTGCTCAACTTGCTTTTTGGTCATGGTGTTTCATCGCAGCAATAGAAACTCTAACTAAGACATGTATGCTCTACTCCTGAGATTCCCTCTTCTATCACTTGTATTTTATTGTTGATGCTTGCATCTGTAGTTCCTGTTCACTTACCTAGATTTTCCATCCCCAAGATTCCCTCAGTGTGTGTTTTCTTTATCGCTTCTATTTCCATTTTCAGGTCTTGAACAGTTTTACTAATTTCCATTCACCGGTTTGTATTTTCCTGGATTTCTTTAAGGGATTTATTCATTTCCTCTTTAAGGGCCTCTATCATCTTTGTAAGATTGGATTTAGGGTCATTCTCTTGTGCTTCAGTTGTGTTGGAACATCCAGGGCTTGCCGTAGTAGTCTATCAGGGCTCTGGTAGTACCATATTAACCTGGGTTTTGTTGATTATATTCTTATGTTGGCTTCTAGTCATCTGGGTTTGGGGTTACTCTAGGTTTAGGTGCTGATTTCTGAGTTTATCATTTTTGATGGATTTTTTTTCTGTTGGTTTCTGTTTCCACTCTGATCTGAACTGAGTGGCCTGCGGTCTGGTGACCAATAGGTCTTCAGGTCCAGTAGGATGTCTCCACTAAGGTTTTTGTGGCCTGTGTGGCCTCTGGCAATTTGGGTGCCAATGTTACCTCTGGGGTTCCAAGTACCTGTGTGGCCTTTGGAGTTCTGGGTACCTGCTTGGTCTCTAGGGTTCCTAGTATGGCGTGGCCTCTGGTAAAGCAGAAGTCTTCTGCTGGTGTTGTGGGACAGACTATGGAGCCCAGGGCAGAGGGTGCAGTTGGGGCCTGTTGGGTGGGCTTTAAGGAGTGTTAGCAATGGTAGGAGTGTCTCACCTAGGTTCTCTGGGAGCAGCGTGGCCTCCAGTGGAGCAGAAGTCTTCTGTGGGAGTTGTCCTTCCTGTCTCTTTTTGTGCCATTGATTTTAAGTCATGAAAAGTCTATGCATGAGATTAAGTGTGTGCATTTCAGTTTTCTCGCCTCTCCTGTTATCCAGGAACTGACTTGTGCCTATCTTCCTTTGCTCCTGTGAGCTCAGGCTGTACAGGTCTGTCTTAGGCCCGTCTTGGGCACAGTTCATGTCCCACAAAAGTAGGATGATTCAGGTAGAACAAAAACTCTTGTAGATTCAGACAGGTCACCCAGCACCAAATAGCGGAGGAGGACTCTGTGTGTGTGTGTGCCCGTGAACATCTGTGTGCACTTGCCTATGATTTGGGGTGAGGCAGGACACCAGACTTTCAAATGTTTTTGTGTTTTGGAATCCTGGCTAGAGATTGGCTGTGTTTTAGATGCTGCCCTGAGCCTTTGTCCTCTTGGAGGGGACAAGGTGCGACTAGATCCCTGCTCATCTTCCTCTCCCATTTGCCTGCCCACCCTCGGACACATTCCTAACCACCTGAAGATGTTGTGAAATGATTGAGTCCTCATCTCTCTTATGAGGAGTACTGAGATTAATTTAGGGATCTTTTGGAGGAAAAGAAAAGTCCTTAGTCAGTGAAGTGATGGAAGGATGCTCAGCTACTGAGGCCTTTTGTGTAATCAGATGTTCTAGTTTTCTTGGAGCAGAGGGTTTTTTTTTTCCTTTCAGGAGTGCTGGAATGAGGCTTGGGGGAGGGACTCAGCAAGCCAGGTAAGGTGCACCCCCAGCTCATGTTGAACTCCCTTCCCTGTAGGTTAGGCTCAGTCCTGCCAATCCCATGTCCTTGAGATAACAGATGCTGTGGATGTGTGTGAGGCGGCACAGTAACTACCATCCTGTTCTTCCCTCTTTACTGACTTTACTGTTTGAAGCCTGGCCGGGGATCAACAGCCAAGGACAGTGGATATTTCTTGGGACAGGTTTCACAAAGTGAATGCCATTCTAAAATAGGTTCTTTTCAAAAACATTTCAAACATTCCAATATTTACACGTCATGCCGGTGTCGGTGTCTGACGGGGCTCTGTTCATGGCCATGGGCTCTGAGTTTAGTCTACATGCAGGAAGCTCAGCCAGTTGTTCTGCTCTCCCTGCCATGCTCCTGCAGCTCAGGTCTCCACCTAGCAGCAGACTTGAGAGAGGGCTCTGATTCAGGACTCCGTAGTTTGCCCTATTGCAGCTGAGCTGAAATGTGCTGTGGGGAGGGATCATCTAACCACATAGGGACACCCTCTTCTCCACTTTACGTTTCAGGCATACAGATACATCCCAAATGGCAAGGTTTGCTGTCACCCAAGGCCCTTAAAACACAGTCCTTACTGAGTCTGGGAAGCATCTTTGGTTTGGTCCAGTGGATTGCGGGGAGGTCACAGATACAGGGCACCTTGTGTGATGTGTCCAGCTTGTCCACCTGGTCCACATTATTGACAAAAGACACAAAGGAAGTTTCCAGATTTGGTACTGTGGGCTTCAGGAGGATGAGATACTTGCTTCCAGAGTGAAAAACTAGGATGACTGCATCAATGGCTGAAGCTCTAAAATGTATTCAGCCACAACTGTCTTTTTACTTCTCCCTCCCTTCCCTATCTTTTGAGATAGAGTTTCATGTATTCCAGGTTAGCCTCAAACTTATGTAGTTGATGATGACCTTGGACTTCTGACCTTCTTGTCTTTATCTCCACAGTGCTAGAATTGCAGGCATGTACTACCAGGTTGGAATCCAAGGCTTCATGTATGCCATACAAATACTCGACCAACTCAGCTATTTCTCCAGCCTGCTACTTTTTTCTTAATGACAAAATAACTTTCCCCACATCATTTGGGACACTTACTTGGTAGATACCTACAATCTAAAGAAACAATTCTTCCTTTTCTTCCAGTACCTGGTTATGGACGTGCAGATGATGGTTGGGGGGCGCTACCATTATGAGGTAGACCCTGAAGAGTACATTTTTGCTGCTCTGAACATCTATGTGGATATCATCAGCCTTTTCATTTTCATTTTGGACCTGATTGCCCGATAGCCGATGGCCAAGGCTGGCTGAAGCTGAGAAGAGGGAAGGCAGGATGCCTGTGGAGTGCTGCCAGGCCCAGGCACACAGCAGTGACCACTCATAGGTCCTTTCAGTAGTTATTTATTTATCTATTTACTTATTATTAATTTATGTCAAAAGAAGAATTCAGTAGATGGTAGCTGTTGCTGTTATACTTTTTATTTCCCTTGTCATATGGCAAAACTTTGTTATTCATATGGAAACATTTCAGATTCCTACAAATTCAGAAAATGAGTATCCTAATCACATACTGACATACCTTTAGAAGGTTCCCACTGCTTTGTTGAAGTTTCCTAGGCACAATTTTTTTCTTTATTAAGAAATTTTTTATTCATTTTATATACCAACCGCAGATCCCCTTCTCATCCCTCTTCCTGCTCCCCCCCAAGCCTCACCTCCCCCACTCCCCATCCCCTCCTCTGAAAAGGTAAGGCCTCCCATGGGGAGTCAGCAAAGTCTAGGCACAATTTAAAGCTGTAAACACCTATACATAAATAAAGTTGATTGTAGAAAACCCCAAATACTTCCTTTCTCTTCATTTGGACATTCTATGGGGATATTTTAGCATGAGATTTTTTTTCTTAAAAGTAGAACCCAAATCTGCTTTTCTTCCACTTTCCACAGTCAGCCTGGAGAGAATTCTGTCAGGTAGGGAGGTGAAGAGCTCAGGACAGTGTTGGCTGCATGCCACCAATAAACCTGTCCCTTTGTGCTTGACTCGGAGGACCATCTCTTCTGAGTATTGGGCCAACTGGCCTTATAACATCTTAAACATCTTTTTAATTGTAATAAAACATACATAAAATTTCTATTTTAGCAGTTTCTGCATACAGTTAAGTAGTATTGCATATATTATTGTAAAACCAATCTCTGCAATGCTCCCAGCTTGAAAACTGAAGCTCTATATCCACTGTATTAGTCAGGGTTCTTTGGGAACAGAACTTATAGGATGAATCCATCTATCTATCTATCTATCTATCTATCTATCTATCTATCTATCGATCTATCTATCTGTCTGTCTATCTATCTACCTATCTACCTACCCACCTATCTATCATCTGTCTGTCTATCTATCATCTATCTATCTATCAATCTATCTATCTATCTATCTATCTATCTATCTATCTATCTATCTATCTCATGCCACACATTTCTGGTTGTGAAGTGAGGTCCTTGGTCAGAAGCAATACTGTGTGGAATACCATGATGGTGGATAAGGAATTCTGTAAGTTCACGGATGGTAGTTTGGGCAGAAACTTGCCTGCAGGAAAGGCAAATCTATAACCAGAATAAGCATCTACTCCAGTAAGGACAAAGTGTTGTTCTTTCTACAAAGGAAGTGGTCCAATGTAGCCAATCTGCCACCAGGTTGCTGGCTGGTCACCCTGGGGAATGGCGCCATATCTGGGATTCAGTGTTGGTCTCTGCTGTTGGCAGATCTGGCACTCAGCAGCAGCTGTAGCCAGGTCAGCTTGGTGAGTGGAAGTCCATGTTGTTAAACCCATACACAACCCCCATCTCTGCCATCATGGTACCTTTGTTCATGGGTTCATTGAGAAATGGCAGAAATGACTGGGGAAAGAGGCTGACTGTCCACAGAATGGGTTATCTTATCTACTTGATTACTGAACTCCTCCTCGGCTGAAGTCACCTTTTCATGAGCTTTTACATGGGACACACATATCTTCACATCCTTTGCCCATCTGGAGAGAGCTATCCACGTACTTCTTCCCCAGATGTCTTTCATACCAATTTTCCAATCATGTTCTTTCCAAGTCCCTGGCCATCCAGCCAATTCATTGGCTATGTAGCCCATGAGTCAGTGAACAATCACACTTCTGTCCATTTTTTATAAACAAAATGTATGCCCATGTGTACTGCCCAAAGTTCTGCCTACTGTGAAGATTTCCCTTTGTTGACGTCTTTCATAGTTGTCCCAGAAAAGGGGCTGTAATGCTGCAGCTGTCCATAACATGCAGAACCATCAGCAAGCTGGGCTCTATTCTTCTCTTCCTCAGTCAACTGATCATAGGGCACACCCCATGAGGCTATAGGTGCATGCTTGGCAGCAGAAGGCATTGCAATGGGAGTAAAAATCATAGGCATTTGGGAAACATCTTCATGTAACTTGTTTGTGCCTTCATGACCTTCTCATGAGGCCCAATCATGTATATACTACTTCCATTTGAAAATAAATTGCTGCTGTGCACATCCTACTTTATGGTTTAGTGGGTCAGATAACACCCAGCTCATGATGGACAGCTCAGGTCACATGGTAACTTAGTGGCCCATTGTCAAATGTTCAATTTCCACTAAGGCCCAACAGTAGCAGGCCAAGAACTGCCTCTTAAAGGAAGAACAGTTGTCTGCAGATGATACTCCAAATCCCAAAGGTCTCTTCTGTAGCTCACCTATAGGGGCCTGCAAAAGGCTCCAAACAGCCCGTCTATCTGCCAATGATACCTCAGGTACCATCAAGTCTGCTGGATCATATGGTCCAAGTGGTAGAGTATAAGTGCCCATGCTTTCTTACTGGGCCAATGTTACCTTATATGGCCGGTCAAAGAATTAAGTCTCAGGCTCAGATGGAGAGGCCACAGCAAGGCTAAGGCTGTGACAATTTTTACTGAGAGTAATCAGACTTTTTATACCCTTATCAGAAACAGAATATAGTGGCAATTGCCAGGATCAGTACCATTGTGGTTGCTAGGATACAATGACATTTGCAAGCTATACAGGGCGATTAATGTCTAAGACCAGTTTTCCTATCAAGCTTCCATGGTTCCTTTAACTTCAAAAGGAACATACATAGAAAGTGGCCTGAATGCTCCACTGCCTAAGAGGGTGCCTTGGTTTCTCAGGAACTGAAAGGCATACAATGCCCCAGGAGCCACAAATTCTAATCTGAAAAACCTATGATCTTGCAGGCTGCAAGAATATCAGCTGTGTATTAAAGCTATACCTAGAAATTTCAAGGCATTTTTCTAGAGGAAGCAATCTATCTATTTGGTGTTATTCAGTTTTTAATATTTCAGCTGTCTTCTGCTATGAAATTCTTGTGGGCCCATATACTACTAGACCATATTGGGAAACAGTGTAACCCTCTGATTCTCTAGGTAACTAACTCCTAGTTACCTAGATACATGGCTCTGTTTCTTGTGCAAATGAAGCTCAGACCATCCCTTGCCTTCAGGCCTAATGGCACTCCCAGAGCTACTGACTCAGAACAAAGGAGATTTTTGCATATCCAGGTGGAGTAAAAGGTGGAACAAGATTTCTGGCCAGAACAAAATCATGTGGCTGGGAGAGAAAGAACAAGATAGTTTTTCTGTAGATGGTAGACAGAGCTGCATGGCCAGAGAGAAGAGAGAAAGGCAGAGATTCTGTAGATTGAACGGTAGATCTCTTGTAGAGTTTATCAGGGCTAAGAGTAAGGAGCTAGGAAGGATAGATGGAGGATGAAGGAACAGAGGACAAAGATGAGACCAAAAGCATAAGACTTAGTTATTACTAGGGCTATGAGGGGACAGAAAAAGTAGGTACAGAGAGGAACTGAGACTCAGGATGGAACTGAAACTGTAGATAGAATTTTGTCACAGAGGAATAAAGTTAATTGACAAATAGCATGGTGTACATAGATTCCTTTCCCTCAGATAACCCCATGCTGGATGTAGCATTTTCCCTAGGACTCTGGGAGGGAACTTTCTCAGGGCTGGCCTTGGGAAAATTCCATTACTATGAAGCATGCCTCTCAAGGCAGCTAGACCAAGCCAACTCCAAGGTTTCCTGCAGCAGATTAGCTACACAGCAGCCTGGATCCATTGCAGAGCCTTCTCTTGTTCCAGGTACCACACAAAGCTAGTAGCCTTCCAAGTCACTTGGTATATGTGTAGGAGTAACACACCCAAGTGGGGAATGTGCTGTCTCCAGAATCCAAATAGGCCACTAAACATTGGTGGGAGGGGCCAGGTGCAGTAACTTACCCTTCACTTTAGGAGGAGTATCTTTGCATGCCCACACCACCAGATGGAGGCCCTTGATTTTTGGTTGAATTATTTCCCATCCTCGGATGCACATATGTGCTACCAATGAGTTCAAAGTGGTTGTTATCTCCTGCTTACTTGGTCCAAACAGCATAATGTCAATAAGGTGCACCAATGTGATATTTTTGTGGAAGAGACAATCAAGATCCCTTTGAAATAAATTTTGACACAGAGCTAGAATTAATATATCCTTGAGGTAAAACTGTAAAAGTATACTGGTGGTCTTGCCAACTGAAAGCAAATTGCTTCTGGTGGTCCTGATGGATAATTGTTGAGAAAAAGGCATTTGCCAGATCAATAGCTGCACACCACATACCAGGAGATGTGTTAATTTGCTTGAGTAAGGACACCACATCTGGTACAGCAGCTGTAATTGGAGTCACTACCTGACTGAGTTATTGACAGTCAAGTGTCAGTCTCAGTGATCCATCCATTTTCTGCACTGGCCAGATAGAGTTAAAGGGAGATGTGAGGACCACCACGCTTGCATCTATCAAGTCCTTGATGGCGGCACTAATTTCTGCATTTCCTCCAGGGATGCAATACTGTATTTAACTCATTCACCATTTTTCTTGGCAGGGGCAACTCTAAAGGCTTCCATACCATAATAGCATTTCTAACCATAACAGCCCTCATTCCACAGGCCAGGGTACCAATGTGAGAATTATGCCAACTTCTAAGTATGTCTATCCCAAGTATACACTCTGGAACTGGGGAAGTAACCACAGGATGAGTTTGTGGACCCACTGGACCTACTGTGAGTTGGACTTTAGTCAAAACACCACTAATCATCTGACTTCCATAAGCCCCAGACTTTAACTGGAGGGCCAATGTTTCTTAGGGACTCCTGGAATCAGTGTCAATTCAGAACCAGTATCCGACAGACCCTAGAAAGTCTGATTGTTTCCTTTACCCCAGTGTTCAATTACCCTTGTAAGACCATAGGTCCCTCTGGGGAAGGCTAACTGTAAAACTCTTAGGTATTTTATTAAGGTCCTTCCTTAGGGGAACCTAGCCATCCCTTCAATCAAGAGGTTCTGGGTCTGAAAACTGGCTCAAGTCTAGAAATTGGTTCATGGGTCAAGATTCCCTTTTGCCATGATCCAGTGCAGCCTTTCTTTCGTTTGAGAATTTTTCTGCTTATACAGATCAAACAAAAATGCAGTAGGCCCTTTTCATACCTGGAAACACCATGATTGATTAGCCAGTACCAAAGGTCCAGACAAGTCATGCCACCATAAAAATCACTTTGCATATACTACCTATCAGGTTAGGCCAGTGGTTCTCCATCTGTGGGTCGTGACCCTTTTGGGGGTTGAATGACCCTTTCACAGGAGTCACCTAACACCATCAGAAAACACATTTCTGATGGTCTTTGGAATGGAGACACTGCTCCTCTATCCATCTCCAGGTGGGTCTGCCCACATGCAGATATACCCACATGCAAGTACCCGGAACTGTATGTATTAAAGGGCCGCAGCATTAGGAAGGTTGAGAACCACTGGTTTAGGCCATTATGAGCATCACTTTGTCTATACTGCCCATTAACAGTAATTACAATCCCCTTGCCTTTGGTGATTCGGTACTACCACCCGGCCGATGCTACTTTAGGGCCAATTAAACCCATTGCAGTTAATTCATTCAACTGAGCAGCAGCATCTCCAATTGTAAGGTCTGACACAAGGAAGGGGTGCCATCAAAGCTCTCAAACCACTTCTCACCATTACAGTATCCTCGAAGGGCGTGTCTGCTGGGCCTTCCTGTAGTGGAGGATTAGGATTTACACAGCACACCCACTCTAGCATTGCAGGTTCCCCGAGCCTTAGAATCCAAGGGACATCAGGCATCTCCCACTCTTCAGTAGACCATCTTCTGACAAATGCTTCAGTCAACCATTCAAACAAACTTTTGACACCCTTTTAAACTGTGAGAGCTTCTACATTAAACCTAGAATCTCTACTCAATGGACCTATATCAATAAACTCAGCCTGATCCAGTTTTGTGTTCTTCTACCATTCTCCCATACCACACACTTTCATTCCCACACATATTCCCAGACTTTTGCCTGAATGAGTACGCAAACTCATTCAAGCTCTTTAGTATTATAGCGCACCTCCTTATTGACTGTTGGGAGACCCTACTGCTTAAGGTTGCAGCCCACCATGTCCAGACAGCAATCTTAGCTCTGCATAAAACAGAAGACTCCCTTGCCCAATTGGGGCTTCCTACTCTCTACCTGGCCTTATTTGGAGGCTGTCCCTGAGCTTGGATGCCTGACTTATCTTAAGTGTGACCTTTGACACAGTTCCCTGCAAATGCTCTCCCACTGCAGCCCATATGATAATTAGGTGTTGTGCTCCCATCTGGATGATGGGACCGTGCTGTCAAATGCAAATAAAGCATGCTATGAACACCTATTAGGGGATGTCCCCATCTCATATATTCCCCTCACTCTGGAGTAAAGTGGAGCTGTTTCACTGAAGCTGACTCCTAGAAGGTCATTTCTGTCATACTCACAGCCAGCCAAGTCCTGCACGCTGCCTCTGCTCCCTCTTTACTCACAGACTGGTGGCCACTGGACCACGTGGAAAAGAGAGACCCCACAATGGACTACTCCCCTCTAGGAGTCTGCTTAGCCTTAAGTCTAGTTATAGGTCTAGAGACAACTATTGGTGGGCCCTGAGGGAGATCAGTATTTTAGTTTTATAACAATTATAATTTTAATCTAATATCAGAATTAAATAATTTTGTGCAGACAGGCATCAGAAGATATACATCCAAAAGAAAATAACTGTATACATATTTTTGAATATATTCTATAGCCATTGATACTTATTTTTGGTGGGGTTTTATTTATTTATTTTTGAGAAAATGAAGAGAAATATGAAACTATGCACAATTAAAAAATAGTTATTTCAGGTGGGCAGTGATGACGCACACCTTTAATCACAGAGGCAGGCAGATTTCTGAGTTTGAGGCCAGCCTAGTCTACAGAGAGAGAGTTCCAGGACAGCCAGGGCTACACAGAGAAACCCTGTCTCAAAATACAAAAACAAACAAATAAACACACAGAAAATGGTTTTATGTAGTATACTGCTTCTAACTGACAATGACAATTCTGGTCTAGTGGGTGGAGACACCAGGACCCAGACTGTACTGAGAACTGGCCACATCATATCTCCCTGTGGAGACACCAGGACTCAGACAACACTGAGAACTGGCCATATCATATCTCCCTGCCTTGCACTATTTTGGTCTTCTCTGCACTTGGTTTCCCGAGGCAACTCCACCCCCAGGAAATCTGCAGCTGTGCCTTCTAGGCCTTTCTTGAAATTCTAAATTACTCACCTTAGGCTGTTCCAGTCAGGAATTGGGAGAAAAGCAAACTGATTGAGAGGAACAGCATCAACAGACTCAAAGAATGGACTACAGTTCTACCAGCTTCTACAGACACCTTCAGTCCCAGCGCTCACTTGGAGGCCGAACCAGGACCATCTCTGTGAGTTCCGCACTAGCCATGGCTATAATAGTGAGACTCTGTCTCAAAACAAACAAATACAAGTTATACCCTAAAATGGTGCATTTTCCCTAGTAGTCCCAATTTCAGAAAAGTGCTGATAAACAGGACGTTGAGGGATCAATCTCAAAACAAGCCCCTTCCTCATCTCCAAATCACAGTCCCTGTAACACTATTCTCAAACACTTAGGACCCTAGGAACAACGGTTTGAAACCACTGAGGTAGCACATGTTTCTATTGGAACTAGAGATCTACAAAGAACTTATGCTAACAATAGCTTCCAATTAGAATTGGAGAATGGGGCCCAAAGCATGTATATGACATGTTGAGAGCATGCTGAAGATCTGAACTCAGATCTTCTGGCTAGTCAAGTAGAGACACCTCTACAATGAAAGAGAAATTTTGAGAACTTAAAACTGTTACTACCCAAACTTATGTTTTAGAGTTTACATTTGGCCATGTGTGTTGGCTTACACTTTTTATCTGGAGGCAGAGGCACATAGAACTCTGTGAGTTTGAGGCCAACCTAGTCTACATAGCGATTTCCAGATGAGCCAGGGCTACATAAGTAGATCCTATATCAAAAAAAAAAAAAAAAAAAAAAAGAGCTCACATTTGGCTTGATATATGGCAGTTTATGTATGCACCCCAGGCTAGCCAATGTAGCTGCAGAGAATCTTGAATTCCTAATCATCTACCTCCACTTCTAAGCCTCCTACCTCCCAGTATTAAGATTATAGGCCAACACACCGAATTTTACGTGGTGAGGAGGTTGAACCCAAGTTTTTATGAATGCTAGATAAGCACTCTACCAACTGAGCCCTAGCGATTATTTTTGAAAATATATCTTGTGGGCAATCATTCTGACCTTTTTTATTTACTAAGCTTTGTTTACTGAAGATGTAAACCAGAGTTAAAGAAAAGCCTATCAAAATGTCACAAATCTTCATTTCACTACTTTGTAAAATAACAAAAATTAAGATTGCAAAATGCTTGGCCAGGTGTTGTGGCACAGCCTTTAACCTCAACACTTGGGAGGCCAAGGCACGCAGATCTCTGTGAGTTCCAGGTTAACTGGTCTACATAGAGAGTTCGAGGACAGCCAGAGCTGCTTCCCAGAAAACCCCTGTCTCCAAAGGTGGGGGCGGGGGAAACTATGCATATAGTTCTAGCTGTAATCCTAGCACTTGGGGAGGTGGATGTGGGAGAACCAGGAGTTCAGGCCATTCTGGGGTTTAAGCCGACCTTAAACTGCATGACACCCTATCAAAAGGAAGGAAGGAAGGACTCAGTGGTAGAAATACCATAAAGAAAGTCACCAAGCATGGGAAAAATTCTTGCAACTCAGTGTAAAAAGGGACTTATATCCAAAATACACAAAAAACTCTTAACAATTCACCAATAAGAAAAAAAGATAAGAATTATAAAATGGACAAAGGATCTGAACAGACACTTTTGCTGAAGACATGAAAAGACCCTCAACACAGGGACAAACAAGTAAAAACTACAGTGAAATCTCACTTCACACTCACTAGGATGGCTAAAACAAAAGGAAACAATAACCAGTACTGGTGAGTATATGGAGAAGACAGAACCCTTACACACTGTTGGTGGGACTGTGAAGTAGTGTTAAATGTCAAAAGATTAAACAGATCACCCAGCCATTTCACTCACAGGTATATATGCAAGAGAAATAAAACTGTATGTCCACACTTGAACAAATGTTCACAGCTTTGTTCATAATAGTTGAAAATGAAAAAGAACCACAATGTCCCTCAATGAACTGATAATATACGGTATATATGACAACAAATTAAAAACCTGCTATAACATGGATAAACCTCTAAAACAATATGCAAAAGAACACTCATTACATGATTCATTAATATGAAATGTTTATACAGGTAAATCTGCAAGGCGGACAAGTAGCTGTCAGGAGCTAGAGAGACAGGTGAATGCAGAATGAATGCTAGTGGGGTATAAGGTTTCTTTAGGGGGTGACTAAATACGCTAAAATTAGACTGTTCTAAGTATACTAGAAGTCCCATGAAGTATACATGAATATTTCAACAATATTACTAAGAAAAAGGAATGGGGGATTACTGCCCTTTCGAGCATCCATGAGGTTTGATTATACTTTCCAGTCACTATTTCCAGGCCTCTACTTAACAACTTTATTTGAAAGATAAGGGGGCTGGTGGAGAGATGACTCAGTGGTTAAGAGCACTGACTGCTCCAGCAGAGGCCCTGGGTTCAATTCCCAGCACCCACATGGCAGCTCACAACTGTAACTCCAGGATCTGACACCCTCACACAGACATATATGCAGGCAAAACACAAATGCAGATAAAGATAAATAATTAAAAAAGAAAGATAAAGGGGGTAGCTTCCACTGAAGCTAAAATTAAGATTATTGAACATTGCCAATAAACAGACACACACACCCAGGGGAAAAAAAAAAAACATTTAATCAATTTAACCATTTAGCCAAACATTCACACAGTTCTGGACTGCCCAACTTTACCTCCTAAGGCCCACTTAGCATTTTTGCTAAGCTTCCCTTCCCCTATACTTAAATGTTAGGACTCCCTGGTGGACAAGACCCATCATAGAAGCCTCATCCAGATTTGGTCCAGGAAGCCCTGATAAAGTGATTGGCAGTTCTACCTACCCAGCAGAGGACTGCATTCTCAGCTGGGGATTTGGTAAGAGAATGACTCCACCTACATGATGAGCCAGCAGTGGAGATGAGGTCCATTTTCTCACTCATGTCTTTGAAGGACTGTGATTGGGTGCCATTTTGAGAGGTCGTCTACTACTGAAGGCACAAACTATTCTGGAACAATCGCAAGTCAAAGGGCCAGCATGCCACAGCCTCTGGGTAGCAGACTGCAGTGGAGGGCAGTTGTGAGGTGAGTATCAGGAGAGCCAGATATGGACATGCTGAGTTCATGCAGCTCCGGCGCTGAAAGGTCTGGTGGTCGATGGTGATAACAGACCCCATTCATCTGAGGACAGATGCAGTCCTACAGGCCCTGAGCCCAAGGTCAGCAGGCAGCCCAACCTCTGTAGCCATCCGTCTGTTGCAAGGTTCTCTGCTGGTGGGACTGAAAACTCTGAAGCTCAGGTCCGGCGGAGTTCTCTCAACTTCTGCAGCCCCTGCCCTCCTGAAGGGTGTTTAATGCAGTATTCAAAGCACTGAGACACCATAGCCCTCCAGTATAGATGCCAGTGTCTGCTTTCTTGACTCCCCAATGCATTCAAGAGACACCCCTTGGCTTGAACATGGCCAATCCAGGGTGTATAAACTGGGGAGTCTCTGGAGTACAGGACAACCTGTATGGCCCACAGGCTGCAAATCTAAGAGTGGCCAGCAGAAGTTTCTGGTACACAGAGGTTAGCTCCTAAAATGAAGTCAGCTCTGTTGGGACATCTGACACTTGACTGGTTCAGGCTCAGCGCCCTCAGTTTTAGCATTGAAGCTTCAGGGAATGGCCTTCAGTTCCTGCAGCTTCTGATGGGCTCTCCAGTGTACACTGTCAATCAGGAGCTTTTCTATTGATAAGTGGTCCATCTTCACAGCTCTTCCCACTAATTTAGGATCAGAAGCTGGGAAAGGAGGATCATGAAAAATCTGTAAAGGCTTGGAGACATCATTCTCATCGATTTTAATTGTAACTCTGTGAACAGATCCTGAGCCTGTTCTTCTCCCTAGTACCTGCTGATTCCAAACTGAGAGACAGAGGCACTTCCCCGCATGATACCTTTCCACCTGGACAAGGTTGCCCCATCTCTCTCGGATTAACATCAGAGTCTGGGAATGTAACACTTCTAATTGAAGTGATAAGCAGAAACAATGTAGGCAGTTGTACATGTCCTGAAGAGGTTTCTCACCAGCAAAGAGCCGAGACTGCACCAACCGATGAATAAAGTCGATTTGCATGCTATGAACCAAAGGTCGGCCATCTCCTGTTTCCGTATCCTCAACTAGAATTTCTAGCTTGAGAAGGCGCCATGGAACTTCTGGATCATCACCCATTACCGTCAAAGTTGCTTCAAATTCTCCTTCAACTCGAAACTTCACACGGCCATTTGCCACTGTAAGATTCGCTAGCTGTGGAGGAAGATCTGTTGTTGCAAGCCTATGTCTAAGAATCTGATTGAGCCGATGAAGTGTGGCTTGTTTCTCAATTTTGGTAATTGGGTCTGGAGGAATAATCTTATCCCTGATGCAGGTTGGAAGCCGTGGATAAGAGCCAGTAGTCAGCACATCAATGGCATACGGGATAGCAAAATTAGGCAGGCGTGCGTGGACTAGTGCGTCTCTAGCTAAGAAGGCCAAGCGATCCGCGGTGTCCACAAACAAGATAGCTTGCTGATCTAAAAAGCTTGAGATCATCGCACACTTTTCGACTTTGCCAGCATCATTAGCCCATTTTACTAAAGCTAATAGTCGAACGAAGAGTTGACGTGTCCGGCTAGCAAACTGTACAATTTCTATTTTCCTTTCCACATCAGATTTCCTTGGTAGTAAGTCCGTCAGCATCAAGAGCTCCGAGTAGGCCCGGTGCAGCAGAAATTCGATGAGCGTGCTAAGCCGGTAACCAGAGCTAGCCGCCGCCGCCGCGGCTCCCGGCGAGGGAGGAGCCGGGGCAGACGCTGAGCCGCCGTCGCCGCCGCCCGGAGGGGTCAGCTGGTGGTTCTCCAGCTGCACTGAGGCCATGGCGGCACACAGCCCGGCTTGGCGCAGCCACACGAGATGCGGTCCTGGAACCTCCTCCCGGGCTCGGTGACCGCACCGACTCTGAACAGGAAGCCCGAGCCCGGGCTGCGGAGGCCCGCCCCCATGTGGGGCGGGGCCGGCCGGCCAGGGAGGCGAGCGTGGGGCGGGGCGGGCGGAGAGCCGGGCCAGCAGGCCGCAGGGAGGCGAGCGTGGGGCGGGGCGGGCGGAGAGCCGGGCCAGCAGGCCGCAGGGAGGCGAGCGTGGGGCGGGGCGGGCGGAGAGCCGGGCCAGCAGGCCGCAGGGAGGCGGGCGCGGGGCGGGGCCACAGGGAGCGAGCGTGGGGCGGGGCCGCAGGGAGGCGGGCCAGCAGGCCGCAGGGAGGCGAGCGTGGGGCGGGGCGGGCGGAGAGCCGGGCCAGCAGGCCGCAGGGAGGCGAGCGTGGGGCGGGGCGGGCGGAGAGCCGGGCCAGCAGGCCGCAGGGAGGCGGGCGCGGGGCGGGACGGGCGGAGAGCCGGGCCAGCAGGCCGCAGGGAGGCGGGCGCGGGGCGGGACGGGCGGAGAGCCGGGCCAGCAGGCCGCAGGGAGGCGGGCGCGGGGCGGGACGGGCGGAGAGCCGGGCCAGCAGGCCGCAGGGAGGCGGGCGTGGGGCGGGGCGGGCGGAGAGCCGGGCCAGCAGGCCGCAGGGAGGCGGGCGCGGGGCGGGACGGGCGGAGAGCCGGGCCAGCAGGCCGCAGGGAGGCGGGCGTGGGGCGGGACCGCAGGGAGGCGGGCCAGCAGGCCGCAGGGAGGCGGGCGTGGGGCGGGACCGCAGGGAGGCGGGCCAGCAGGCCGCAGGGAGGCGGGCGTGGGG